GCCGATGTACAGGTCGTCGGTGACCTAGTACGTAGACTCGATGAAGCGCCACGCCTGGTGCCTGACGTCAAGGTACTCCCTGCACCACTTCAAGGCGATCTGCACACCCGGCGAGCAGCACCGCGAGATGACCGTGAAGTTCAGCACCAGCGTAAACTTGAAGTAGCCGTAGCTTGGCGCGATCCCTCCTGCCGTCACGTGTGACGCCGACATCGGCGCCAATCCACTTCGTCGGCTGCCGACGCTGCCCTGCGAGGGCCCTGCAGCCGGCGACGACTTTATCCCTCGCACCTGAACGCCGCCGACTTCATCGGCGTGTATCACTCCAAGCACCCTCGACGACGTGCCTCCCGCACTGCTGCCGACTTGGTCACCACCGGCATTGAAGCCCACGTCGACGCCGCCCTCGGTGTTCACCGGTCGAGGAGATGCAGGCCGAGAAGGAGGGTGCTCCGTCGCCCACACGGAGCGGATGCCAGCCTCGACGACCGCCCAGGGTAGGTCGACGAACTCCTTCGCCTCATGGCGTCTCCTCGCGGTCTCTTGCCGTGCCTCCAGGGTGTCCACCACCCCGGCGTCACCTACGGCGCCTACCATAGTGACTACCACACGGCTACCGGTCTACGAACAAGCCAGGTAAGTGCTATGTCGGCTAAATCGAAGGTGACGTCGCGGTGTTGTCCACGCTCACCGCACCATGCGGAGATAACTCTAGCAACGGGAGCCTGACTACGGGGAAGGCACGTGCGTGAGAGTGATCTTTGCGTTCGTTCACTTAGTCGTTTCCTTGTGCGCACACTACTTGCTAGTTTACGGGGAGAATTGGCAAGAGTTCCACTAGGAAAACATCACAATGATAGTTCAGAATGATGGCAACAACATTGGCATGCAAGGCTACATCAGATCTAACTAGGCTGCTGGTCGACCTCTAGCGCAGCACGGTCGACCGCATTCCAGCGCAGCAATGCTTGCACCGCTCCAGCGCTGCAGAGATGCGGCGCGCCAACGTTGCATGTCCACGGTGTGCCAACGCTGCAGCAAGTCGGCTGCACAGCGTTGCACCCGCAGGACAATGGTGCACCTGCTTCGCAGGTGTGCGCGGCTGGTTGACATCCAACTCCCCGTCACGTGCCCAGCGCAGACATTCCCGCCCGTGACGGCGCCCACCTGCCACGTCGACCTCGGGATACCACCCTCGAGGTCGTCCTCGCTGAAACTACCCACGGCGACCGTCGCACACGTCGCCCGGGTATCCGGGTCGACCGGGCAACCCAGCCTGGTCGTCCAGCCCAGCCGGACGCCGGCCACGCAAAGCCCAGCTTCCCCAGGTCGGCGTCCTGGCGTCCAGGTCGGCGTCCACTCGCCCAGGACGCTGTCCAGGCGCCCAAGCCGGCGCCTAGACGCCCGGGACGCCGAGCAAGCGCCTAGGTTAGCGTCCAGCCTCCCATGACGCCGAGCAGACGCCCAAGTCGGCGTCCAGGCGCCCAGGACGCCGTCCAGGTGCCCCGGACGCCGAGCAGACGCCCACCTCGGCGTCCAGGCGCCCAGGACGTCGAGCAGACGCCTTGGTCGGCGTCCACCTGCTCGGCGCCCTTCAACCAGGCGCCCCCAGCTCCACGCCCTTAAAGTGGCCTCCGTGCCCACTGCTACAGGTCGGCTGCATCCCCCCCGCACAACCGACCATGAGGTCGGCTCCGCCCAAGTGAGGACGGGGCCAAACACCAAACACCATTGTCCTGCAGCCGACTTGCTGCAGCGTTGGCACATCGTGGACATGCAACGTTGGTGTGCCGCATCTCTGCAGCGCTGGAGCGGTGCGAGCATTGCTGCGCTGGAACGCGGTCGACCGTGCTGCGCTGGAGGTCGACCAGCAGCCTAGCTAGCTCTGATGTAGTCTGTGTTGCCAACGTTGTTGCTATCATTCTGAACCTTTGTTGTGATGTTTTCCTAGTGGAACTCTTGCCAATTCTCCCTGTGAACTAGCAAGTAGTGTGCGCACAAGGAAACGACTAAGTGAACGAATACTCTCACACACGTGCCTTCCCCGTGGTCAAGCTCCCGTTGCTAGAGTTGTCTCCACAGTGCCGACCCTGCGTTTTCAGAGCATTTTTTGAAGGGAGCCAAAACGTCCGAGTTGGCGAAAAGCCTAACTTTAGCCCTGCACGCAACTATGCATTCCGCGCTTGGAACACTGCAGTGGCGAGGTAAACCTACCCAAATATCTCCCTTTGCAACGAATCCAGTTGGAAAGCCCTGGTTTCACCCAACCGACTCCAACATTCGCGCGACGCGCGTGGCCGTTCGGGGTAAACCCAAGCTGGGTAACCCGTTGACGCATAGCTTGTGCGTAACCCTGAAGGGGAACATACCAGGAATGCGCGTGACAAGGCTTGGGTCTGGAGGGAATCGTTAGTGTGACCCAAACCTCTGGTGCGGAATTTGTGCGCGCATTACTCATGCGTGCGCAAAAACGCTGTACTGGCTGTGCGCTCGGAACGTTCCTGGGTTACGACCGACAGCCGGGGTAATACCCATCCGCTCCTCTCCCAGCATTAAAGGGGCGCACAAGCTGTGCGGGGCAGAAAAAAACGCCCGGGAAAAATACGATCTTGACTGTTTCTGAACCCAACGGTTACCATTCAAGGTTGGACCTTGAGGTATTGGCCATTGGATGTTGGTACTCATTCGTGTCGCGTGTCAAAAGAGTACCCTAGGTCAGTGCTGTTGCTTTTCAAAAAAAATTGTCTGCCCCCTCGTAAACACCCTGGAGCATGCCTCGCAGGTACATCGCGACTGGGTCATACCTTCGTGATAATTTTGGGAGGGTTCTTTCCTGCGCGGAATCCTCCGAGCGCATAATTAATGCGTTAACACAACGCAGCCCCATTTCCCCTCTCAAACCATCAGAAGGGTTGGCAACATGCACCACCTGAGTAACCTGGTAGAACAAGGCTCACATTTCGAAGTTCAAAAAGGTGCAAAGCAGTTTGGTGCATTGCCATGAGATACAAGTGTGGTGCAGTGTGGTTAGGGTTTGAGCTGGGATACCACCTGCCGTATGTTCCGCCACAACACCTAGTTCACAACTTTAGCCCAGCTTGCCTTCGCCTTCATGTTAGATACAGAATAGCGAATGCGGTTTCGCTTCTGGAACCGCAAACGATGCCTCGAATTGGCAGGCTCCACGTGGCATCACGAGTCCAGGCCGTCTCACCGTCGTTCTTCGCCTGCTTGTGGTAACCGCGCACCTCCTCTCGCTCGTCGCCATCACCAACGCTGCCGTCCCAACATGCGCCAGCCTCGCAGCTCAAGGTACCAATTCTTGCCACGTCTTGAAAGGTGGCCTCGCAGCCAGCCTCGCAACAGCTCTCTATATCAGAAGCACGTGGCGCTTGCCGTGCGGCAGCTAATGTCGCACCAGATCCAAGGGACCGCGTAGGGATTTCGAAGGTATCAATTCGATCGTTGCAATTCCCGAAGTAACCAGTCCACAACGAGAAAATCGCCGAGATTATTACCCACATCTCGTCCAATTTATCGCCGACAGCCACACACACCCAACCGATTCTGCCAGCCGCGCAGCGTGTAACGCATGACCTACCCTGCCTAGCTACCTCTAGTTTCCTAAGTCAACATCGATAGGAAATGACTCGATGGGAAACAGAAAGGTTGAGTTGGAGGGGAAGGTTGGTTTGGTTGTTCCAAACCTCAACCTTGAGGCTTGGAAACTTCCAACCTATCAAAATGAAGATTGGGAAGGTTGGATTTCCAACCAATCAAATTGTGCCAGTTGTGTCAGAATCCCAGCCACTAGACCACTGGGATAAAAGGGCTTGTTTACATAGCGGGTGAGTGCGCCCATAACCCCCAGGTCGACGTGCCTGTAACACTTCCCTAGGATCATCGGGGCTTTCCAGTGGATCTCTGACAAGTTGATTTCCAACCAAACACAAAACAACCATACAACACAATTAAGTTGGGTTTTCCCAACCAAACAAATATGCCACATAGGCTCCAAGCCTATTAGCTCCCCAACCATGGAAGCCATGGTTGGGAAGAGCCCCAAGGGGTATTGTGGAAGGGGTTGGAGCTTTCAAGCTCATTCCCACTTCAGAACTCCAACTTACCAATTTGGAAATGAGATTTTCTCTAAGTCTTTGATTCTCCTAACACACTCTCCTACACAACTAGAGTTGTGATTCTCTAAGGATAAACTCTACAAGAAGCTCCTACCTACTTGACTTGCTAGAGCTTCATCAACCTTCCTCAAGCTCTACGGTTGCCCGTTGTTATAAGGGCCGTGGTTGTTACATTGGTATCTAGAGCTAGGGTTATCCTAAGCCTAGTGGAAAGTTTGCCCCTAGAGATTTTTTTTTTATAGAACTTGGAGCTTTGTCTCCGCCTTCTGAGAGCGGTCATCGCATCATCGCCGCGTCTCTTCCGCTGCCTTCCATTGCCACCAAGCCTCCGCTTCCATGCCTTCCGCTTCTACGCCTCCGCTCTAGCCCCCCCATTCCATCCTCTCTGCACTACCCCTCCGCCCAGATCTGCTACACTAACCCCGTTTCCCATCCCTCACTCCCCCTTTCCACCGGTCCAATTGCTGTTCCCCACCTCCCCTGTCAAATATATGTGTCACCTCCCTTTTGCTCTCCTGTTCTTGCTCCCCCAAAGCTGCATTTCAATCTCACGTCATAAGTCCCGCTACCCTTAAAGCAGCAGTATACATTTGACACTACTGTTTGAGGCTCTACAGTACGTAGGACGATTTCTTAGACACAGAGAGGGAAGGGCAAGAAGGCAGGCGCATAGAGGGAAGGGCAGGAATAGTGGCGCAGAGAGAGAGGGCCAGGATTAGCGGCACAGGGAGTGGATGGCATTGAGAGAGGCATAGGGAGGGAGGGGCAGGTAAAGAGGCGCAGAGGGAGAAGGACTTGGAAAGGGGTAGGTGCAGACAGCATACCAACTCGCAGCGATGAAATCGCGATAACTTCAAAATATCATAACTGCACGCATAGGGAAGGACAAGGTACATAAGTTGCATGGAAGGTAAGAGGAGGGGAGGAGGGTGTAAGGCGCAATTTAAAGGAATAGAAATTATCGCTGGAATAACGTGCATGGAAAAAATGGTGCTGGCAGGAGAAAGAGGTGGTGGGAAGCATGAAGGAGGGATGGGAAGGCAGGAAAAAGAGGTGGTGGGAGGCATGAAGGGGAGGGAGAGAAGGGCGGAAAGGGAGAGAAGGGGGCTCAGGGAGAGTAGGGGGGGAAGGGAGAGAAGGGAGGGTAGGGAGAGGAGGGCAGGAAGGGAGAAAAGGGAGGTCGGGAGAGAAGGGAGGGGATGGAGAGAAGGGCGAGGGATGGTTGGTGGTGAGGGAAGGGAGGGAAGGGAGAGATGGGTGAAAAGGGAGAGGAGAGAGGGAAGGAAGAGAAGGGAAGGCAGGGCGGGCAGGGAGAGAAGGGACAGCAGGGAGAGAAGGGAGGGATACGAGAGAAGGGAGAGTAGAGAGGTAAGGGAGGTAAGGGACGGCAGGGAGAGAAGGGAGGGATGGGAGAGAAGTGAGGGAAGGGGGGTACGAGAGAGAAGGGAGGGAAGGGAGAGAAGGGAGGGAAGGGGGGTACGGGAGAGAAGGGAAAGAAGGGAGGGAAGGGAGAGAAGGGCGAGAAGGGAGACAAGGGACGGAAGGGTGAGAAAAGGAGGGAACAGAGAGACTTTTATCGAGGGGAGAGAAGGGAGGGAAGGTCGTCAAGGGAGGGAAGGGATGAACGGGAGTGAAAGGAGAGAAGGGAGAGATGTCGGGAGGGAGAGACGAGGGAGGGAAGAGATGAAAGGGATGAAAGGGAGGTAACGGAGAGAAGGTAGGGGGGGACGGCGGGACGAGGCTTCTTGGGCGGCGGGAAGGGGAGAATGGGAGGCGGGAAGAGGAGAATGGGAGGCGGGAAGGGGAGGATGGGAGGCGGAAAGGGGAGAATGGGAGGCGGGAAGAGGAGAATGGGAGGCGGGAAGGGGAGGATGGGAGGCGGAAAGGGGAGAATGGGAGGCGAGAAGAGGAGAATGGGAGGTGGGAAGGGAGGATTGGAGGCGGAAAGGGGAGAATGGGAGGCGGGAAGGGGAGAATGGGAGGCGGGAAGAGAAGAATGGGAGGCAGGAAGCGGAGGATGGGAGGCGGAATGGGGAGAATGGGAGGCGGGAAGAGGAGAAAGGGAGGCGGGAAGGGGAGCATGGGAAGCGGAAAGGGGAGAATGGGAGGCGGGAAGAGGAGAATGGGAGGCGGGAAGGGGAGGATGGGAGGCGGAAAGGGGAGAATGGGAGGAAAGAAGGGGATAATGGGAGGCGGGAAGGGGAAGAAGGTAGGCGGAAAGGGGAGAATGGGAGGCGGGAAGAGGAGAATGGGAGGCGGGAAGGGGAGGATGGGAGGCGGAAAGGGGAGAATGGGAGGCGGGAAGAGGAGAATGGGAGGCGGGAAGGGGAGGATGGAAGGCGGAAAGGGGAGAATGGGAGGCGGGAAGGGGAGAATGGGAGGCGGGAAGGGGAGAAAGGGAGGCGGAAAGGGGAGAATGGGACGCGGGAAGGGGAGAAAGGGAGGCGGAAAGGGGAGAATGGGAGGCGGGAAGGGGAGAACGGGAGGCGGGAAGGGAAGAATGGGAGGCAGAAAAGGGAGAATGGTAGGCGGGAAGAGGAGATTGGGCGGCGGGAATGGGGAAACGGGCGGCGGGAAAAGGGAATCGGGCGCGGGAAGGGGGAACTGAGCAGCGGGAAAGGGTTATTGGGTGGCAGGAAGGGAAATCGGGCTGCAAAAAAGGGGAAATCGGGCGCGGAAAGGGGATTCGGGCGGCAGGAAGGGGAATCGGGCGGTGGGAAAGGGGAACGGCGTGGTGGGAAAGGAGAATCGGGCGGCGGGAACCGCAAATTGGGCGGCGGGAAAGGCGATTCGGGCTGCGGGAAGGGCGAATCAACAGGGAAAGGCGATTCGGGGCTCCGCGAATCCGCGAGGGTAGGTATGAACGGCTTCAATGATCTCACACGTCGAGAATGACTGCGAATTAGGAACGCAAAATAAACAATGGCACGGGTGGCGTATGACCTGATATATTAAGATGCCCCATGGTCGCTTCGCCTAAAAATCCTACGGTGGTTGCCTTTTAGTAGTGCACACTAAAAACGCGGTGGGAATGGGGCTAGTGGTGAGGAGGCAACGCGTTCAATATACTTCTGGCTTTCATAACATTTTGGCGATCGAGCCTGGTGAGAGGGGTTGGGAAGACTCCGTCGCTTGTGACAGAAGTGGAGTGGCCCTGTAGTTCGGTTACCACCAGGTACCTTTTATAAACTTCTGGCACTAGCCCTGCAAAATGTATACCGCTGCTTTAATTCCCCTCGATAATCCCTCTCCTCGCTCCCTCTCCATCCCATCATCTCCCCCCCCCCCCAACACCTCCGGGCCTCCCCCCTCCCTATCCGGCCCCAGCTCCCTCGTTGAACCTCGTGCGCAATGCGAGCTTCGAGGAGAGGTGTCCACTGCAGCAGACTGGCCCTCGCCCCTGTCGTCCTGGGTGCGGCTCGTCCCTGGCGCAGCAGGGCAGGTGGCGGGGGAGGGGGGAGAGGTAGGCGGAGGGGTAGGGGAAGGGGTTCGGGGAGGGGGAGGATCAGGAGAAGCTCCCCCCGGGGACCCGTCGTGGCTGCTGAGGGCGGTCGGTTCGTTTGGCTGCAGCCCAACGACGGCAGTGGCAGCAGTGGCAGCGACGGCAGTGGCGGCAGTGGCAGCGACGGCAGTGGCGGCAGTGGCAGCGACGGCAGTGGCGGCAGTGGCAGCTACGGTAGTGGCGGCATCGGTGGCGAGCTTTGGGGCAGCGGGGCGAGCGAGAGTGACGGGGCAGTGTGGCCAGTGCAGGGACTGGGGCAGCTTCTGTGTGTCGCGTACGGGGGAGAGCAGCCGCAGCAGCAGCAGCAGCAGCAGCAGCAGCAGCAGGAGGCAAAGTTTTTGCTGTATTTCTATGCAAGGGCGCGCGAGTGCAAGATGAATCCGTTTTCTGCCTTTGGCCTGCGGCCAATGCGAGGCATGATTGTCGCTGTGCCCCTGCCACCACCATCAACCACTGTCGGCAGCACAGGCAGCAGCAGCAGCAGCGTGGAAGAGGGAGAGCTGGCCACGGCACTAGCAGCAGGCATGCACAGCGGAGAGATGATGGTGCTGCATTAATGGACCATCGGCGTTCCATGCCTCAACAACAACTCCAACTCTCTCTCTGGCCTGCTCCCCTGGCGCCAGCACGGGCCCTTCTCCTTCCACCTCCCTCCCTCCTCCGCCTCCGCCGCTGCTCTCTCCTTCCCGCTGCAAGGCGTTGCTCTGCACCTCCTGCTGCTGGAGGGAAGCGGGGCGGGCAGCGGCGGCATGGGGTCGGGTGGCCCGGTGGTGTTGCCTGAACCCGGTCAGGGGTACGTTCCCGGAGCTCCCTTTTAAACTGGGGGCTCGTCCCTTCCTGGTGGGGGTTCATCATGGCAGCAAGTGCATGGTGACATGACATGTGTTAGGAGCAAGTAAATGGTGACATGACATGCGTTAGGAGCAAGTGCATGGTGACATGGTGACGTGTGTTAGGACTAAATGGACTTTGCATCCTTGTAGATCTTTGTTTCTCTTGACAATTCCTTGTGCTCATTATAGACTTTCTCTTTCAATTTGTTGCTCATGCCCAACCCAAGCACATCCACTCCATCCCAATCTCATTTTTCTCTCTACTTTACCCTTCCCCCACCCCCCCCCTTCCCCACAAAATCCAGCGGCCTCCGCCCCTCCGTTTTTCTCCTACTCCCGAATGAACTCCTCCTCTCCCCTCCTTACCTCCGGCTCGGCCCGCCTCCTCCCCTCCTCGCTGCGCCTCACCCCCCTCTCTCCCCCCCACCAAGCGGGCCTTGCCCTGCACCCCACGCCCTTCCCCCTCGTCTCCCCTGCCACCCCCACCTCTCCCTGCCGCCCCTACTCCTTCTCCTCCTACTTCTCCTTCCGCCTCTCCTCCCCCCAATCCGCTGCTGCTCTCGAGGCCGATGGCTTTGCTTTCGTTCTCCTGCCCGACCCGACCGTCGGGCTGCCCGGGCCAAACATGGGGTACGGCAGAATGACACACTGGCAGGAGGAGTTGGTTGTGGGTGCATAAGGGGGAGGACTTGCGGGTGGGGTAGTGGAGGAAGAGTGTGTGGTAGTGAATGGGGCCTTTGTATGCACAACGATTGGCAGCGGCGGTGGCAGTGGCATCTCTTACAACAGCAGTTGGCCACATCAGCACAGCCTGGGAGTGGAGTTTGATACGTCATCAACTCGTCTGTTTCTAGATCCAACGGTGCAGCACGTGGGAGTGAACATGGATTACAGCATGACGTCAGCAGGCCATGTGTCCGTGCACCCCGCAGGCATCCCCTCGCTGGGCGACAGCAGCAACGACAGCGGCAGCGGCAACGGCAGCAGCAGCGGCAAGGAGAACGAAACTCTACATGAGTGGGTGGCCTACAACGCCACCGCCTCGCTGCTCTCCGTGCGCCTCTCCTCCTCGCCCGCCATGCCCCCCTCCGCCCTCCTCTCCCTCCGCTTCAACGCCTGCGACCTCTTTCACAACGCCCCAAAGGAGGAAGTGGGGGAGGGGGAGGCCGTGTTGGTGCATGCGGGGTTTGCAGCCGGCACGGGGCTGCTGCCGCTGCACTCTCAGACACACGAAGTTCTGTCATGGAGCTTCCAGGTGGACTCCCAAGGTGAGTGGAAGTGGGAGGGTAGCTGATGGGGAAGAGGTGAAGGAATGGAGGTTTTTTTTTTAAGCAGCTGAGTGAAAGGGGTGTGTCAGAGCTAACTTTACCCCCACTCCTCTCCCCCCTTCTTCAGTAGCTATCAGTCCATCCACCTTTGCACGTGGGAGTGATGTATCCGCGAGTAATAATCTGATAGAGTAATTTGCAATAGGTAGTATAAGCCATACGTACGAACCCAAGTGAGCATTGGGAGGGAAGGGGATGGTTGGGGGCAAAATTGCGCACCTCCCTTTCTCCCAGTGCCGGCTCCCCTCCCCTGTAGCTGACGTCGTTACTGTGTGCTGTGTGCTGCTTGCTGGCCAGCTCACGTTCCCTTTGTGTTAACCTCCCCTCTCTTCTTCCTCCCCCCCAAAACTCCTTTTTCTCCTAGCGCCGGCTCCCCCTCCCCTGTGGCTGCCACCGTCTCTGTGTGCTACGTTGCTGTGTGCTGTGTGCGGCATGCTGGCCGGCTCACTTTTCCTTCGTGTTAACCTCCCCTCTCTTCTTCCTCCCCATTTGCTGTGTGCTGCATGCTGGCACGTGTGCGCCTGGCGTGTGCCTGGAGGGCTATGATGCCTCCTCCTTCTGCCTCTGCCCGCCCTCCTTCTTCCCCCTCGACTACTCTAACCCCCTCAAGCAGCCCTGTAACCAAGTTACACTAACCTCTCTTCTCAAGGTTACCTTGTAACGAGGCGACTTTTGAGTCAACTCAAATGTCACACTAACCTCTCTTCTCAAGGTTACCTTGAAACTCAGCTGGATCACTTCAACTACTCGAAGACCCAATCGTCTGTTCTCTCAAGGTTGGCAAACCGGCATGCTTTCTGCACGCTTCGTCTGCTAACCCTAACTATAACTTCATAGAAATATTATTTGACCTAGCTTTTATCTATGCTAATTCTGAGTTGACTCGAGCACACCAGTAACATAACTACAAGGTGAGGCAGATTCTTCTTGTTTCCTGTGTTCACACCACTCCTACTGCCTACTCTCTCCGCAACTCCCACCATTCCTAGAAACGCCTCCACGCCCACCACTCCGCTCTCTCCGCTACGCCCGCCCACCACTTCCGCTCTTTCCGCTACCCCCACCCCGCCCACCACATCCGTTCTCTCCGCTACTCCCACCCACCACTCCCATTCTCTCCTATTCTCTCACCACTTGGGCAGTGAACCCCCTAGCCGGTCGTTGACTTTTGAGCCAACTCAAGGTCAACTCACCACTTGGGTAGAGAGCCATCTGGCCTATCATGTATTATCCTTCTCGCTGCCTCCCACTTCTGGCAAGCCATGAAACCTCACCTTTTCGCTTTTCCCTGCCTCGTCTTCTACTTCTGCTCTCCCCTCATCCCCCTTGCACCAATGACATTGGCGCGCTCCTCTCCCTTCACATACCCTCCTTTGCTACAGGGATTTCAGGTCACTTAACCTTTCCATACGTAGATGGAGGAGGCTGGTGGATGGAGACGATTGGATACAGTAAGCATGCCATTTTGGACATGACGTGCTCTTACACTCATTGCAACTGTTCCAGTGTCCAAGTATGTACGAATTTCTGTACCAATAGTTTACATTCATGCATGCAGTCAGGAAGGAGTTGGTCCCGCTCAGCTCAGACTGTCACATAGTTGCACTCTTCAATGTTAAAAAAAGCTCCCATGCAGAATAATGTCTTGCTAGCATCATCCAGAACAGGCTGCTGCCACAGACGACAAGCACATACGTCTAAAGTCTGCTGTCTCGGGGGACTCCCTTAGATCGGCCACGAACCCAAAAGTGTTCATGTTGCGCTTGCAGTCGCGCACTTCATCAGATGAAATGAGGCCCTTAAACTCGAGCACGTGCCAGTTTCTCTGCCGTAACACACAGCCCGGTTTCACCTCTGCTTGTGACACATACACGTTGAAGCTGCAGGGGGGAAAGAGAAGGGGGAAGGGAGGGGGAGGAAGGGACAGATTGATGCAGGTTGGGATGGAAGAAGGCAGGAAAAGAATGGGCTGGGAGAGGAGCGGAAGGACACTGTGCGAGAGAGGAAGGAGGGGGAGGCGGGAGGCGGTGTTTTCTGGTGTGAAGGCATTGTCTGATAACACATGGCCCTTATACTTGAGCTCGTGCCAGTTGCTCTGCTGCAGCACAAAGCCTGACTTCACCTCTGGCTGTGATACATGCACGTTGAAGCTGCAGGAGTGTGGGGGGAGAGAGGGAGGTAAGAGCAGGGGACAGGGGAAGAAAGAGGGGTAACTGAGGCGCACACAGAGCACACACCCACGCTTCACCAATGCTTGGGACACATACAAATTGATGCGGCAAGAGTGGGATGGGGGAGAATAAGAGCATGGGACAGAAAAAGAGGTTTATTTGAGAGGGACACATGTAGCACACTACTTGAGACGCCTCACATGAGAGATGTGCTAATGCAGTAGCCAGCCAGGAATATTGCATCTACTGGCACGGCCCAAGTTACCTGGACCCTCATGCTGCTTACCAGCTGCTGTGGTAAGAACCGGCAGTCGTGGTTCAGAGTGAGCACTCACGGGTTGAAGAGAAGAGGAAGTGGGTTGGTCAGACGTCATCTCACTCATGCCATTGGCTAGGCGGATGTCCTGGTAACCAGACAAGTGTAACCATTTGAACCCATATGTCCTCACTGATTGGATTGGATCAACAACCACTGGCCAGAAACTTTCACTACCATGTTGTGAAAAAAAAAAAACACACACACACACACACACACACAAAAAAAACAAAAAAAACTTTCAAGGGTTTAAGGAAATAAACAACCGTCCAGCACATTGGGTCATGCGGTTGGCGAGACAGAATGTCTGAGTTATGTGGTTACCACCTGGTTTCAATAACAAAATAAACCCAATCACTGGTTGAAGGAGATGGGGAGGGGTTGGTTGAAGGTGGAGCTGACAGTGAGTGACCTGTAGGCAGAGGAGTGGACTGTGGCGAGGAGAACTGGAAGCCGAAGCGCTGAAGGACCTGGTGCACCATGTGTGACTAAGTCAGGGTGATGGTGCGCCGTGCTCTATCCCGGGTGATCTGCAAGCCAAGATAGCTGCGCAGCTCACCCAGGTCCGTGCACGTGTGTCTCTTCTGCAGCTCGGACTTCACAAGAGCCAGTGCCTCAATGTCAGCAGTGGCAAAAACCAAGTCGTCGACGTACACGAGGTTGTAGAACGGCGGCAACGAAATGTCGGTGTGCAGAAACAGTGACGGGTCAGCAGTCGAAGGAGCAAATCCAACAGCCGCAAGTGTCGTCCTCAGTGTGTCGTGCCACTCACGAGGCGCCTGGCGGAGACCGTAGACTGGCTGCCGGAGGCTCCACTGGGTACCTGCAGGAAACGACCCAGTGAAGCCAGGTGGGCGGCGCAGCCAGATTTCTTCATGTAGGCTACCCTGTAAGAAAGTTGTGCTGAAGTCAAGAGAGTGAAGCTCGTAGTTACGCTGAGCGGCAACGTGCAGCAGCACCCAAAGAGTGGTCATCTTCGGGGTACGGGACAAGGTCTAGAAGAAGTCAACTCCCTGTCGCTGACTGAAGCCTCGTGCAACGTAACGAGCCTCGGCGGCCGCTTCACCCTGAAAATCCACATGCCATCGACTATGTTCGCCCTAGCCAGAAAGGGGAACTGCGTTGATTTAAGTGCATGTGGACTTCCAGGATGCCATCTCTGCGTCCATGGCTGTCTGCCACTGAGAGGAGTAGGGACCCGTAATCGCCTCTGCGTAAGAGCGCGGGGTCGGGATGTTCAGTGCATCCGGGTCTCCCTCGAGTGCAAGCAGCATGGCCACGAGATGAGGTACAGCAGCTGCAAGACACTCAAAGTCCTCCTGCCTGTCCTCAAGGACGTCCGTGCCAAGAGCACACTCACCCCCGACAGACGGAGGACAGTCAGACTCAGACTCAGCAACAAGACTAGTGGCGTAGTCGAGACGACAGACAGCAGAAGCTAAGTCAACAAGCTTAGCAACTAAGGCATCTAGACGAAGCAGTGGACTCAAACGAAGGGTCAATGACCCCAGTGGCTAGGAGACGCGTGACAGTAGGGCTGGCAGCACGAACCAAGTCAGACTCAGGGTCCGGAACGTGCGGAAGAGAGGACGCAGGAGGAGACGGCAGGGGGACACGCTGTGGAACAGAGGAAGGACGAAGTGCCATAGTGTGAGTGCCGGGGACAGGAGGAGGAGGGGGACGAGGAACACGGGGACCAGTGCGAACAGCACGAACAGGCGAACAGGACGAGACGCAGGCTCACGACGCTCTGTAAGCGAGTCTGTCTGCTCAGTGTAAGGAGAAGGAGCAGGCAGTGGGGATGCTGGCTGTAGCCGTGGCTGCGACTGGTCAGGCGGTGGATACAGGAAGGGAGGAGTAAGGCCGGTAGAAGACAGGAGGCTAAGAACCTGGCGAAGCATGGAGTCAGGCGGTGGCAAAGACGATGGTGACGACGGAGCAAAGAACGGTCGCCGCTGTGCAGTACCACCAGCTCCAGCTCCTCCAGCACCAGCACCTCCAGTACCTCCAGTACGAGTACCAGCAGCTCCAGCGCCTCCAGCAGCTCCAGAACCTCCAACTCCAACGCCTCTAGCACCAGCACCTCCAGCACCAGGACCTCCAGCTCCAGTGCCTCCAGCACCTCTAGCACAAGCAGCATCACCAGCTCTTGCCGCTGTCCTACAGTACGAGCACCTCCAGGACCAGCAGCTCCAGCACCTCCGGTACCTCTAGCTCCAGCGCCTCAGCACCAACTATACCTCCAGCACCTCCAAGACTAGCAGCTCTAGCTCCTCCAGCTCCAGCGCCTCCAGCTAGGGCACCACCATCTCCGGCAGCTCCAGTACCTCCATTACGATCACCTCTAGGACCATCAGCTCCAGCACCTCCGGTACCTCCACCTCTAGCGCCTCCAGCACCAGTTGTACCTCCAGCACCTCCGGGACTAGCAGCTCCACCGCCTCCAGCGTCAGTGCCTCCAGCAGCATGAGCTCCAGCTTCAGCAGCGCCACTCCGAAGGCGGGTGCGCTGAGCAAACCACTCGCGCAGCTGCTGTGGTGAGAGAGGCTCCCGCCGGCTAGACTGCTATGGCGAGGCACCCGTAGGACCTCCAGCAGACGCAGTACCCCTAGGCTCAGCACCCCCAGACTCAGTCCCCTCCGGCTCGGCACACCTAGACCCAGCACCCCCAGGCTCCGCACCCTCAGGCTCAGCACCCCCAGGCTCCGCACCCTCAGGCTCAGCACATCCGAACTCCGCACCCTCAGGCTCAGCACCCCCTCGGCTTTGCACCCTCAGGCTCCACACCCCCAGCAGCACCACCCCCAACAGCACTAGAGTCGACACCAATGGGCTGCAGAGGCGGCAAAGACGGTCGAGGTTGAAAACCAAGAGGGGTCACCAAGCGTGGTGAGCAGCGCGGGGCCGCCGCGTCGTCAGCAGCAACGTCACCCCCCTCTGCTGGGGCAGAGGTGTCGGATGTGACCTCGAGAGGCTCACCCAAGGGGAGTGGGTCTACCTGAGACACACTTGAAGGAGCAGGACCCTGAGGGGGGAGGGGGTCTACCGGAGGGGGACCTGGAGCGAGGAAGAGCGGCAGGGGGAGGGGGGGAAGAGGGGCAGTGCTGTTGGGGAAGAGACGGTAAAGGGAACCGACTCGTCAAACGTGACGTCCTGAGAGGACAGGACACGGCGCGAGGTGGGGTGGTAAAACTGCCAGCTAGGCGCGTCAGGGGGAAAGCCAAGGAAGACACAGGGAATGGCGCGGGAGGAGAGCTTGTACGCGCAGGTATTGTGGACAAAGGCACGAGAGCCCCAGACCCGGAACACCGACGCATCGCCAACCTTCCCCGTCCAACGCAATGTGGGCGAGGTCTCCGGCAAGGAGACACGGGGCCAGAGGTTGAGCTGATGCGCAGCGTACCGGACCGCAAACGGCCACAGAAAATGGGGAGCAGCCGCATGGATCATGGAGGTACGAGCCACCTCCATGACTAAGCCAATGCGGCGCTCAGCAATCCCATTCTGCTGTGGGGAGGCCGGAAGCGTGAACAACTGGAGGATGCCCTCCCCATGACAAAAGTCCAGACGCAGAACAGCGCAGAACTCACCACCTCTGTCAGAGTGCAGACGCAGAACAGGAAGGTCTTGGTGGAACCGCTTGCGAAGCTGAAGACGGACAGCGCGAATCCAAGGAATCAATACATCAGGGACCTCCCCATTGCTGCGCAAGGGGAAGACTATGGTGTAACGCGAATAATCGTCAACAACCAGCAGAAAGTATCGCTCGCGGTCCTGTCCACGGACGTGGGCGGGGCCCCACACGTCCATATGGAGAGTCTGCAGGGGAGCATCTGTCGGGGGAAGCGAGAAGGAGTGAGGAGCGGCGAGCTCCCGACCCTCGACGCAAGGAAGGCAGGGCGGGGCAGGCGAGCGCGGGAGGGGGGGCGGAGACTTGGGTAGACCAGGGACAAGGAGGCGGGAGTGCATACCACCGAGGCGTGATACGGAGGGGTGACCAAGGCGGTGGTGCCAAAGGAGAGTCTGGTGCGAGAGGTGGCGACACGAACAGGGCGCTGCTACCTGACCTGACGCAGCCACTTGATCAAGCTCAGTAGTCAGTGTGTACAAACTCGGCCCTGGTTGACGGGTGAACGTGGCTAGGTGACGGCCCGTCTGAGTACACGCGCAGATCGTCACACGCTGACCCCCCGGAGTGTTGGTAGTGACCATCGCATCCCGGAGGGCAGTGGTACTCACCAAGTTCGTAGAGAACGAGGGGAGGTGAAGACCTGACAGTGAGCCAGACGGAACCGCCGGACACGGGAGAACAGTGGAGGAGCGTGCAATAACTGGGCCCCCGAAGGAGTCAGCCCGAGAGACTGCAACTAGTACAGGGAGAGGTGTGAGTGTGGTACTGTCGCGAAAGAAGCAGCGGGAAGCACCTGAGTCAAGTGTGAAGGTGTGCAAGGCCTCAGCAGGCGCAGTACTAGAGAGAGCAGACTCACTAGCACCTAGAGCAGCAGCCTCTATATCCGGGTCGGGCGGCACACACAGGCAACAATCACCCTCAGCATTAACAGTCAAAGCATACATGTTAGCAAGGATAGCATCAAAGTCAAGAGCAAAGATATTCACATTGTTCCTAAGCAGGTCGCGCCAGCGGGGGAGCTCAGCCTCGTCGTTAAATTCAGCACGCAAGGCGTCGTCAAAACGGGAGAAGCAGCGGTACTCCAAATGACCAACCTTCCCGCATGTGGCCAGCCCGATCACCTGTGCGAATAACGTACGGGCAGCAAACAATACCCTCAGACGCCCCACGCTGAGCAAACCACTCACGAAGCTGCTGGGGCGTAAGGGTCTCGCGCGGACGCTGCTGCTACTACCTCTGGCCGCCTGCAGAACCGCATTTCCGAATGGCTCCACCCCGACCGTCACTACTGCCGCCGCCACCACTCCCACTGCTGCCACCACCACCACCACCACTCCCACTGCTGCCACCACCACCGCCACCGAAGCCTCCACTCCCACCGCCACCACCGCCACCTCCACCGCCCCCACCGCCTCCACCACCGCCTCCACCGCCGCCACCCCCACCACTCTTGTCTCACTTGCCCTTGGCGCCGTGGCGCCTCCCACTAGGAGCAGACGCAGCCCCGACCTCCTCAGCACCAAGGAAGTCAACAGCAGCAGCAGAAGCGACAGAGGGGTAAAGGGGGGAGGGGGAACACCCCTCAAAGAAGGGAGTGCGAGGAGTGCCACGAGAAGCACCTACAGCGACGATGCTAGTTTTACCTACAAGAAGGCGCTCCTCGAACAGGTCTACAGTGAGGTCTGTGGGGTCGAGGGCGAGAAAGTGGTCCCTGACTGCGCGAAGAGAGTCAGGGAGGCGAGTGACAATAAAGTAGAGAGTGATGTATATCGGGGGTGGGTTCTTGTCTAGGAACTCGGCTTTAAGTGCGGCGAGGTAGCAAGTGTCGCTAGTGCGAAGGTGGGTGATGAGGACATTGAATGTGGCAAAGGCTGACAGCTTGGGAAAAAGGTAGGGCAATATAAGGCGGCCGAGAGCAGTAGTGGCAGGGGAGGAGCAACGAGCTACTACAGCGTCGTACAGGACTTTAGCAGTCTTGTGCTGGCCAAAGTGAGCGTGTTTGGCTAACGGCAGGTGGTTGCGAACGGCTAGGCGAGCAGCAGCGTCACGGGTAAGCCACTGTGAGCGAGTCGCACTGTCAGCTGTGTCGGGAGGGGCGAGAGAGACTCCAGATGTGTGGTCAAACAACAAAACGGTGTCTCTAGAATCGCTCAGTAGGTACATTTGTAAGTCATCAAGCCACGTATCGAACTGGATCGGACGGCCCTCAGGATCGAATGTGAACGCTGATAGCAGCCATAGTGGGCAGAGCAGGGTGGCGCGTGACAAGCAGGGCGGCGCGCGTGCACTAGGGAAACGCGCAAGGCAGGGCAGGGCGGCGCACGGCCAAGGAAGGGCGGCGAGTGGGCAGGGCAAAGGCGGCGCACGGGCTAGCAGGGCGGCGCGCGGGTAGGAAAGGGCAGCGCGCGGGCTGCAAGGGCGGCGCGCGGGCACGAAAGGGCGGCGCGCAAGCAGGGCAGTGCAGCGAGCGGCTAGCAGGGCAGCGCAACAGGCAGGAGTAGGGCGCTTCGTGCAGCTAACGAATCGGTGGGCCCTAAAAAAATAACAGTCCTAAAATAGGACCTGCTCTGAAACCATGTCAAGAAACTGAACGAGAATGGTTGCATTGAAACAGAAAGTTGGTACAAGTACTAACCCTAATTGGGTTGTACCCCTTATGGGCTACCCCACTACAGCCTACACATCCTTCTCTTCGGCCCTGCGCGCTCTTGCTGCTCATTGCAATGATCGCCACATCCATCGCTCTTTCCGTCTCATTTCGTGTCGAAAGCTTCCCCTCCTTCATGTCGCGAATGCTGTTGATAACGTGCTTCGTTACCTTCGACCACGGCTCTATCCCATCGCGAATTTTCGGGTCATTTTGTTCGGCGAGGTGACACGTGTAACGACTTCCACTCAAGCTAAACATTTTCTTGCAGTGGAGGTAATTCGCTTTTTTCACCTTCTTCTTCGGATCATTGGAGAAAAAATAATGCTTGTGGATAAAGTAATTAGGGTTTTGTGTGAAGTGCTATGCTTGGCGATGGGAATATCTGTTATTTGATATTGCATATCTTATAATTGCCTACAGCTTGCTAACGTATTAGTTTAGTTATTAGCATCAACTGTTGGTGTACCCTCTTCGTATCCGTTCCCATTTCCTGTACCCTCTTTGACTTTATTGAACCTACTCTTTGGCCAAACTTCCTTCTCGATACCATCTACATGCCTCCCCAAAACCCTAGCTCCTAATCTCCTAAACTCATACAAAGTTCACCTCTTGACAATATCATGATCGGAATCGGTGCTAACCGACAACATCAGTAAGTGCTGACCGTTAACATGTTGCCGTTGTGCAAATTGAGTGGTAAGGGCTGGATTGAATGACACGGCTTGCAGGTCGTTGCGAACCAGGCATAGTCCTAGGCCAGATAGTGCTCGTACATGTTCCAGGACAAGTTGAATTCGTAATTTCTCATAGAGGGTTTATGATTTCTCTCGTCGTGCGGTTTACATAGAATAAGTAGTTTTAATTGTCGAGTTTAAACATGTCGATGTAGTATAATGGTCTGGCTCCCCCTCTTCAACGAAGCTGTCGCTGCAGCTGTACCAGCATCCCGACCGCACAATCCATCGTCCGCCCGGTCCACATCTACGTTTGCTCGGTTGAACAGGGCCAAGCGGTTCGCGCATTGCGGAGATTGGTCGCGTTCCCTTGCTGCTTTAGAGGCTGGAGAGCTTGCCCCACCGACTCTGGAGACCGTTACTGCGCTTAAGGCCAAGCACCCTCCTGCTCTTGAAGAACTTCCGGACTGGCTCTCCGACTTCTCGCCTCCGGAAGTGCCTCAGCTTACCGTCCCGCTTCTTCATCAGGCCTTGCGGTCGGCCCCTCGAGGCACAGCTGCTGGTCCTTCTGGGTGGCTCATTGAGCACATTCGTGATACCTTCCTCTCGTACCAATCTCACCTGCCGCATCTCCTCCGCCTGTTCCAGAATTGGCTGCAAGGCGACCTTCCGCAGACTGTCCGACCTTACTTCACCGCATCTACTCTTGTCGCCCTTCAGAAGCCGCAAGGAGGCGTCCGCCCCATTGCCATCGGCGAAATACTGCCGCGCTTGCTGTCTCGTTGCGTCACTCTTCACTTCAAGCAGCAGATTAGGGATTTCTTCCTTCCCTCCTTGCAGTTTGGGGTCGCTGTCTCTGCAGGCATCGAGATTATGGCCCACGCAGTCCAGTCAGCCCTATCTCTCCACCCAGATTAGGTCGTGCTGGAACTGGATGTGGCCAATGCTTTCAACTCATTCAGCCGTTTCGCTATGTTCAACGCTCTGCGCGACTCCCCGTTCTCCAGCCTCATCCCTTTCTTCCGCCTCTTCTACGCCTCCCCCTCTCCACTCCATTACCGAAGCGGCCCACTTATTGAAACGCTTCAGTCATCATCAGGTGTTCGACAGGGCGATCCATGTGGGCCATTCTTGTTCGCCCTTACCCAGCATCTGGCCATCCGCCCCATTCAGCAGCAATCTCCAGCAATCTTCATCACTTCCTACGCGGATGACACGTACATGGTTGGCCCTGCACAGGAGGTGTTTCCTGCCTATACAGCACTTACAACTCGTCTCAGCAGCCTCGGCCTGAGGGTGCAACCATCGAAATGCTCCCTTTGGGCCCCTTTGGACCTCCCTTCTGGCCTCACACCTCCACCAGACATCGTCATTGCCCCTAACGGTATCACGGTTGCGGGAGTTCCGATCGGTTCAGATACCCACATCATCTCTACAGTACGGGACAAGCTACTCTCTTTCTCCTCATCACTGCCTCTCCTACATGACCTTCATGACCCTCAGACTGCCTCTCGCATCCTTTCTCTCTGCGTCTCCGCCCGCCCCTCATTCCTCCTCCGCACAGTTGCGCCTTTCCCCGAGATAGAAGAGCTCTATACTGACTGGGACAACGGCTTGCTTGACCATTTTGTTCGCCTCATCGGCCTTGACTACTGGCCCCCTACATTTGACCACACTGCCACAGCACATCGACAGACATTCCTTCCCATCCGCCTTGGAGGGTTTGGCCTCCGATCATCAGCTGCAGCTGCTACTCTTAGTTACATGTGCAGTTGGGCACAGACAGCTTCATTGCTCTCCTCATGCTTCACCATCCACGGCTCTCACATTTTCCGCCCCTTTATCACTTCAGACACCATGGACCGCCTTGACCCATGCATTCCGAAGGCCTTATCCAAGCTTCATCCGTCCATCCGGCAGCACTTCCCCACCTGGCCTGCACTCCACGCTGGCTACCCACAGAAGCTGTATTCCTTCCTCTCACAACACCTGGACGCTGTCATGCTCGAGCGCGTGCGGTACACAGTAACCTCCCCCCAACATTTGGCCCGTTTGACCTCCCTCCAAGGGCCCCATGCTGGTGACTGGCTCACTGTGGCTCCATGTTCTCCGCACATGCAGCTTTCATCCACGGAGTGGTGCATTGCAGCTGCTATTCGTCTTGGTCTCCCCATTCCACACCTCTTATCCACCCGGGCATGCACTTGCGGCTCGTCATTCACGGATCCTTCAATCGTCTCACATGTCCTCCGCTGTCCATCTGCTAACGAGCCTACCAGGGTTCACGACGCTATCAAGCATGAGGTTCACCGCATCACATCGGAGCTTGGTTATGTGGTGCAGTTGGAGGATTCTCATCTTCTTGCAGGACGCCGCCCTGACATCAGTTGCCGTCACATTAGCTCGGGGACAACATGGGCATTAGATGTTTCGGTTGCCGATCCCCAGCATGGCCCCCCAAACTCCAAAACTGCATCTGTCATCGGCTCAGCAGCATCTGCTCGCGAAACCGAGAAACGGACCCTGTATGCGTCTACGCTACAACACCGACCAGACGTGAAGCTTCTTCCTCTTGTCCTCGAAACCTTCGGTTGCTTTGGTACGTCATTCCTCAGCTTCATCAAGGACTGCAGCCGTCGAGGGGCGACACGGCTTCGAGACATGGGTGGTACATCCGACCTCATTCCAAAGCTTTTCGAGACGAGCTACTTCAAGCGCATTTCTTTGGTGCATCAGCGCGAGCAGGCCAGAACCATTTGCCGTCGGGCACAAATATGCTACAGTACTGACACGCCTTCCGCGCCACTGGAACCCACTCCACCTTCCCTGGCTGATTTTGCGTACCTCGGTGTTGGTTCTTGAGACCTCGTCGGGGTCTCTGTCCTAGGATAGCAGGCAACGCTAGTTAGCTTCTTATGCTCGACACCATTTGTATTCTCTGTACAAATATGATATTGTAAATAAAGTGGTGAGTATCTCCGCCTGTCACGCGGAAGATCCGGGTTCGATCCCCGGCATCGGCGGTTTTAAAACTTCCTGTTTTGTTGCCATTCTTTCTGCCGCATTTTATCTACACGATGATATCTACCTGTACAGCATAACGCGTTCATTGAGGACGCGAAAGCCAGTTTCGCGCCACCACCGACGACACCATCGCACCGTGTACCCTCCTGCATCAACCCCATTGGCCACCACCGCCACCATACCTGTCTGCTGTACGCTTGGGAATGCCACACTGAAGTAATGCCGCACCGCACGGAAGATAATTTTCTGTAGCGAGTAGTTGCGCAGCGATGGCAAGAAAATTAGCGAGTTAGGAGCCGATAGTGTTACCGCCGTTACTTACGCCGTCGTTTCGGTCTCCGCATGGCCCTGTCACGGTTGAGTCATCGTGTCGTCTTTCTTCTCCTCGTCTTCACAATCGTCGTTATTCCATCGACCTCGCACTCAGGTCCGTCGTCCAGGTCACCCCCAGCACCGCCAGTAAACTCCGTCGCGCTTTTGAGATTTCTCACCAGTTATTCCGTCGCGTGCGCGCCATTCCCCGCTGAGCTAATGCTTCCCGTCCTCCCGCGTGCGCGTGCCCCGCCGTTTTGTCCCGCTGTGGCCGCATCAGCTTGTTCCGCAGGGGTTTGCGGCACTGGGTCGGACCGTAATGACGTCAGCAGCAAAGCGGCGAATTTCGTCACTTTCGCGACTCGTTCCGAAAGGCGTTCGCCGGGCTTCGCTTACTCTCGCGTGAGAGGGTGAGTGTCTCCGTGCCGTGATTAGCGAATGGCGTGACTTGGTTGTGAGGTGCTTGAAGATGGACGGGCTGCGAGAGGAAGTAGAGACGTTGCGGCTCTGCAGCATCGAGAGGAGTGAAGTTCGGTGGAGAGGTGGAGTGGATCAAGCTGGACGGCGGTTAGGTTCAGGGTGGCCTGTTGGCTTGCTCTGTGCGCAGCTTTGGCTCACGCCAAACCACGACTGACGTTTTGTTCACTGACGCGGTTTTGGATGAGAAACGTTTGACTGACACGTGTTTGACTGACACGTGTTTGACTGACACTTGTTTGACTGACACTTGTTGAACTGACACTTGTTTGACTGACACTTGTTTGACTGACGCGGCTTTGGTATGTCATGACATGGCATGGATGGAACTGGCATGGCATGTGCTGACATTGACTGCCTTTCTTGGAATGGCATGACATCTGATGTGACGTCACTGAGTGGCGTGGCAGGGCTCCATTGGCGGAATGGCAGCAGCGGCTGCTGACATGGCATGCAGGACAGGCGGGCCAGGGGAGAGATGCACTGGGGGAGCAGAGAGTGGGGGCCGAGGAGGAGTGGCACGGGGAGGAGGAGAGTGAGAGTGATGCGGGTGGTGGAGATGGCAGCCGTATGGGGGAGGTGGTGGAGCAAGTAGGGGCAGTGGGGGACAAGGAAGGCAAGGCGGAGGAGAGCAGGCGAGCGGGAGGGGGGACGCATGAAAGGAGGTCAACAGATGCTGGCGGAGGGGGAGGGGGAGAGGGAGAGGGAGGGGAGAACTTGGGGAGAGGAGGAAATGCTTTTCATGGGATCAAGGCGGACTCTCACCCACGATGGGAAGGAAACTCGGGGCGGGGTGAAGCAGACTCACATACAGGATGGGATGGGGCAGGGTCACATTTAGGGTGGGGAGGAGAGGATTCACACCCAGAATGGGGCGAAGCCGACGAGGGCTCTCTGCTGGCTGATTTCCTCCCTGTTCTCGACCCGCTTCGCCTGCCGTCTCTCTTCCAATCAGCTGCTGCCACCTTAGCCTCTTCGGACACCTCTGCTCCACCGGGCCTGCGTGGCACGTCAGCACTAGGGCAGGAGGGCGTGGTGAATGCTGGAGGGTTCCAGTTTGCAGCACGCACAGCCGATGCCGACGCAGACAGGGCAGGGGGAGGCGCAGAGGCGGTCAGAGTGGAGGAGAGCAAAGCTGGCGAGCAGCAAGGGGCGGGCCGGGGAAGACAGCTAAAGCAGCAGCACAGCGAGGGGGCGGAGCAGGGCGGAGGGCGAAAAGAGAGAAGCACAGCAACAGCGGGTGGGGGAGGTGGAGGGGGAGGGAGCGAGGCAGCGCAGGGGGGGACGATCACAGAGGGCGGGGTGAGTCTGACAGAGCTGTCGTCCGCTGTGCTGTCAGGCTCATTGCTCTCTGAAGCCCCTCTTGGCTCCCCCGTGCTGCTCCGCGTTGCCTTCTCCTCCGGACCCAAGGCAGGCCTACAGGCCGTGCAGCAGCAGCAGCAGCAGCAGCAGCAGCAGCAGCAGCCTCTGAAGGGGGAGGCAGGAGCAGCATCGGCAGCACGTGGGGGTGTGTCGTCGCCGTTCTTCCGGCTGTCATCGCAGGTGGATCTGTCGCAGTCACGCGTGCAGCTGTACGGCCCCATGCCGCACTCACGCCGCCGCACCTTCCCCCTCGCTGTCGCCCACGCCACTGATGCTGTGGGGGGGGAGGTGCTCACTGCTAACTTCACCGTCAAGGTGCGTTTCTAACTGTCAAGGTGCGCTCTTCCTCTTCAAAGTGCGACACTCGTGTCACTACCACAGCCGTTGCCTCACTAACACAACAACACATCATCACCCGTGGTTCAGTACTATGACATTCAATGTGATGCAATGCCAGCAGTCCATTGCCCATCCTCCCATACAATGAAAAGACTTCATACCGACCCCCCTCTAAATCTCCCACCACACATGTGATGTGCCCTTCTCCTCCCTGCCCGCCCACCTCCTCCGTGCCTGCTCACCTGCTCTGCAGCTGCCAGGAGCGTACAGTGTGATGGTGGTGGTGGCGGACACACAGGGCAACCGCCTCAAGTTCAAGGCGCCCAACTTCTTCCGCTCCACCCTCCCCCGCCCCGCTGCGCTCCTCCCCGCCTCCTCCACGCCCCTCTCGCCCATCACTGCGGCCTCACCTGCAGCGGTGGCAGGGCAGCAGGCGCAGATGGCCTTTGCTCTCGTCAGCTCGGATGGCACTCAGATCCCTGTCACTGACGCTGATGTGATTGTTGCCAGTGTGACTAAAGTGAATGGTGTTGCTGTTACCAGCAGCAACAGCAGCAGCAGCGGTGACAGCAGTGGTGAAGGTAGTGGGGAGGGGAGTGAGTGGACGGAGGGGCCATCAGGGGTGGGCGTGGAGGTGGATGGAGCCTCGGGGCTTGTCATTCTGCGCTTCACCCCGCCCTCCCATGGCGACTACTCCCCCTCCCTCTCCCTCATCCGCGCCCAGCAAACCATCAACCTACAGGACCCTCCACCCTCCCCCACCTCCTCTGCCTCCTCCGCCACCTCCCCATCCGCGCCCTCCTCTCTCACCCCCTCCGCCTCGCTCATACAAGTAGCACCAGGCGAGCCCAGTGCGGATGCCTCAGGCCCCTTGTTGGTGGCGGCGCAGGAGGTGACGGTGGGGCAGACGGGGCGCCTCACAGTGTACGTGCGCGACGCCATGGGCTCTGATCTGCCCGCCGCGCCCCTCCTCTCGCTCTTCTCCGCGTCCTTCTCAGTCGCTTCCAACTTCTCTCAGCAGCAGCTCACCTACCCCGCCACCCTCACCCTCTCTGCCTCCCCCTCCTCCTCGCCCACCGCCCCCTCCAACTCCTCCTCTCTCGACGTCACATTCGATACAGGCACACTCGCAGGAGCAGCGTCTCTCTCGGTCCTTCTCTCAGGCCGCCACATCCGAGGCAGCCCCTTCCCCTTCACGGTCCTCCCCGGCCCGCTGCACCCGCCTTCCTCGCTGCTGTACGGGCCAGGGGCGCATGGGGCAGTGCCCAAGTTCCCCGCGTTTCTGCAGCTGCAGCTCAGGGATGCATGGGGGAACGTGCTGCTGGCGGGGGGCGCAGGGCAGGACGTGCAGGTGGGGGTGGTGCCCGCAGCGCAAGGGGCCGCGGCAGCAGCGGCGCTGGTGGGTGCAGGGGGGAATGGAGCGGTGCAGAGGGGTATGCCGGCGGTGGCAGAAGGGGCAGCGGTGAGTGTAGTGGACAGCGGCAACGGCTGCTACTCCATCTCCTACCGGGTCACCAATCCCGGTGCCTATGCTATTCTTGTGACTGTAGGCGATGTGCTTCTGCAGAATGTGACTGTAGCAGCTACCCCAGCAGTGGACGTCAGTGCGGGCAGCGCTGCCGCCCAGCCCACATGTGTGGTAACCGCATTGCCCGCCTCCGGCCCCATGCAGCAGCTGCTCGCGTTCGCGCCGCCTCTCGTCCAATCAGGCGCCGCCATGTGGCTGCGCATCGTGGCAGTGGATGCAGCGGGCATGGCAGCTGTGTCAGACCCAGCTGTGCGCTCCTCCAATCTCTCCCTCACTCTCCTCTCCACACAGGGGCAAGTTGCAGACATAACAGCCACGCCCGTCGCCCCCTCCTTTGGAGGCAAGCCTATCCCCGCGCTGTGGCAAGCACAGGTGACTGTTCAGGTGGCTGGCAGCTTTGTCCTGATCTGCACGGAGTGCCTGGGGCGGGCGAGCAGCATGGTTGTGAAGTCAGGCCTGCCGCTGCAGCTGCTGCAGGGCGATGCAATCGGAGGGGACAACGCCTCCTCCTCTGCTGCCCCCTCTGCAGCTCCCTCTGCTCCCTCTGGTCTCTCCGCCATTGCTGCATCAGGTGCAGAGCCAGGCAATGGGTTGGATGAGATCACTCTTGCTGCGCACACGCACTTGCACAAGCACACAGCGCCCGCTGTCACTGCCAGTGCTGCCACCACGGAGGCTGACGGCAGTGAAAAAGCAGATGGCTCGTCATTGTCGGTCCATGATGCTCTCTTCCCCTCCCTCCCTTCCTCCCAACCCACTGCCACGCCTTCCTCTCCAGCTGAACCCACCAGCAGCAACACTGCTCCTGCACTGCATGGCCGCAACCTTCAGGCTGCTGCAGACACTGCTAGCATCAGCACCAGCAGCAGTAGCAGCAGCAGTAGCAGCAGCAGCAGCAGCAGTAGCAGCAGCAACAGCGGCGGCAGCGGCAGTGACAGTGGGGGCATGGCAGTGGCACAGGACACAAACTACGGGCTGATATCGGGCACACAGGGCTCCTTCTCTCTCACCGTCCTCCCCGGCCCCACAGCCGCCGCCCGCTGCTCCTTCGCCCTCGCCCCCGCCCCCGCCTTCGGCCGCGTGGTCGTGGTGGGGGGCGCCGTTCGTCTGCCTCTGCTCGCCAGCGACAGCAGTGGTAACCAGCAGAGTTACAGCCTCAGCCGCTACCCTCCCACAGCAGACGCCTTCTCAGTTGTCGCCTCCCCTGCACCCGCCTGCCAGCCCCCCAAGGGGCAGGCTGTACCTGTTGCAGGGGACGTGGCGTTTGGCAGGCTACAGGCAGGGAGCTTCGATGCTGAGCTGAACTTCACGCGGGCAGGAGAGTATACGGTGCAGGGTTACCTGGGGGAGGTGGCATTTGGGGCGAAGGCGGAGAAGTTCATGGTGCTGCCGGGGGAGGTGGATCCGGGGGAGAGCTATGTGGACGGGGGGGATGTGAGGGAGGCGGAGGCGGGCAGTGTGGTGCGGATGAGGCTCGTGCTGCGCGATGTGTTTGGCAACACCGCCATCCCCTACCACCTCCTGCTGCCCAACTCCTCCCTCTCCAACCAACCCAATACCTCTGCTGCTGCCTTCACCTCCTCTGCTGCTTCCTCTGATCCTGCCTCTGCATCTCTCTCTGCCTCTGCCTCTGCCTCGGCCGCTGCGGCTGCTGCCCCACCGGCAGCAGTGAAGGCGCCATGCTCGGTGGTGCTAAGGCAAGTGAACCTGACCCACCGCGCCTCGTGGTGGGGGGGGCTGTGGACGCAGGGCGAGGCAGACGCGAGCGGGGGAGGGGGGGTGAGCGGGGGGAGTGCGGACGGGCAGGAGGAGGCGGGTACTGTGGTGATGGCGGCTGTGGGAGGGGGGAGGAGGGCGCAGCCAACACAGGATGGAGGGCAGGAGAAAGGGCAGGAGGGAGCGCAGGAGGGGGGCGAGGCAGGGGGGATAGAGCCAGAGGGGGTGAAGTGTGTGTGGAGTGCCGCTTGCTCTCTGCCGCTGTGCCAGGCGCTCACTGCCTCTGACTACGGCATGCAGCAGGCAGCATCAGGAGCAGCAGCACGCGGCACAGGCAGCACGCGAGCAGCAGCAGACGGGGCAGGGAAAGGGGCGGCGGAGGGGTGTGTGTTGGACGTGCAGTTTGAGGCGAGGAAGGCAGGTAACTTCAGCGTGACGGTCCTGCTGGAAGGTTCAAGGAAGAAGCTGGTGTTCCCCGTGCCGCTGCTGCAGGTGGTACCAGGCGCACCCTCAGCAGAGCGCAGCAGCGTGCAGGTGAACAGCAACACCGCTGCTGCTGGCTCGCCCCCCAACGTCACGGTGGTGGCCAGAGACGCCCTGGGGAATGAGATCCCTGACTTTGACCCCTCCACGCTGCTCTACGCTGTTCTCCCCTCCAACTCGCCCCCGGCCTCCCCCCCGCCCTCACCGCCCCCCTCCCCGTCGCCCTCGCCGTCCCCCGCCCCCCCTGCCTCCCCCTCGCCCTCCCCTGCGCCCTCAGCCCCGGCCCCGCCCGCCTCTCCTGCTGCCAGCAATGGCACGGCGGGCAACGGCAGCAGCACCGCCTCCACAGCTGAGCCGGTGCCGCCGCGCTCGCTGCAGGAGTCCCAGGCGGGCAGCAGTGGCGATGGCACTGGCGACGGCACGAGTGGCGATGGCGGTGGGGACGGCAGCAGTGGAAGCAGGGTCAGCAGTAGTGGGAACAACGGCGGGGATGCAAGTGGGATCAGTGCAACAGACGCTAGTGCCATGGTGCCAGCAGCAGCAGGCGGGCAGTCCACCCCCCTCGTGGCGCACCCAGTGCTGCGCGCCCTGGGCCCCGTGCAGGTGCAGGTGTACCTCGCAGGCCAGCCCGTCCCAGGTGCCACCTTCCCCCTCACTGTTCTCCCCGCGCCACCCGCCGCCGCCCTGTCGTACGCGTTCGGCCCGGGATTGGAGCGCACAGTGGCGGGCGCACCCTCCACCTTCACACTGCAGACGCGCACAGCGCAGGGACTATTTCCCGGGCAGACCACGGCAGAGGGCGGGGGGGCGCAGGGCGGGTGGACGCAGCTGGCACAGGGCGGGGAGGGCGACAACAGCAGCAGCAGTGGAAGCACGAGCGGCGGTGGCGGGAGCGCGAGCGCGTGGGGCAGCAGTGCGACGTTCATGGACGGGTCAGTGGCAGTGGTGGTGACGGTATTCGCGCGCCGCAACGTGACCCGCCAGGCCGAGGTGCGATCCGTGGTCGCCCTGGGAGGCGGCGCATACCGCATCACCTACACCACGTACTCTCCGCCCCATGGGGGCTTCTACCGCGTGCGCGTGCAGCTGCATGTGGACGGCAGCAGAGAGCCCCCCGCTGACATCATGGACGGGCCGTTCTTCGTGCCCTTCTTCCGCGGCTCAGCTGCTGCTGCCCTCTCTACGGTGAATGCCTCGCTGCATTCGGTGCTGACCCACCCGGTGAATCAGCCGCTGGTGCTGCTGGTGACGACGGCGGATCAGTTTGGCAACGTGGGCCCCTACAGCCCGCTCATGGACTCCCTCCCTCTCGTCTTCACCGCCACCCCCGCCCGTGAATCCGGTTCCTCCACGCCCCCGGAGTCAAATGCCGCCCCTGCCGCCCCGCCCAGCACGGCGCTGCGTGACCTGTACAACGGGTCGTGTGTGGCGGTGTTCTCCGCCGGCCAGCCCGGGCGGTACCAGCTGTCCATCAAGATCGCGGGGTACTTTGTGGGCGGCGCCAACGGACCCATTGAGGTGGATGTCACTGACGCTGCTGCTGCCAATGGCACTGATGGCACGGACGGCACTGACGCCACGGCCCAGCCGACAGCAACACCAGCTGCAGTGGCAACAGCAGCAGCGGCAGCAGCGGCAGCACATGCAGCACCAGAGGCAGTGGCAGCAGCAAAAGCAGCACCGGCACCAGCGGCAGCCGGTGATTCTGACGAGGACAACACAGCAGCCCCACCAGCAGCAGCAGCCTTACCACGGAACCTGCCCGGGGTGGACGCGTTACTCCGCGAGGCCGAGAGCAGCGCAGCAGCAGCGGGCACAGACGCCTGGCAGGTCACCGCCTCCCAGTGGCGCGTGAAAGGCCTGGCAGGCGGCGGCTCGTCCCTCTTCGCCCTGGCCCCCACCGACTTCCTCCTCGTCCCCGACGCCAACGCCGACGGCCTCAGTGACGCGCGCGCCGCCTCCGAATCCCCCACCTCCTCGCCCCTCTCCTGGGACGTGCTGGTTCAGCCAGTCCTCGCCCCGCCCTCCCCCGCCACCCCAGACCCCTCGCGCCCCGCCTCACGTCCTACCACTGTGCAGCCTCTGTATGACGGCACCTGCCTCGTCGCCTTCACCCCCCCAGCCCCCGGCCCGTTCCTGCTCTCCATCCGCCTCTTCTCCCAGCATGTGCCTGGCTCGCCCTTCCTGCTCTCCTCTGTCCCCGGGCCTGTAGCGCCCGAGCTCTGTGACGTGTGGGGGTCGGGGCTGGGACCAACCATCACTGCAGGGCAGGCGGTGGCAGTGAGGGTGCGTGCGAGGGACCGGCAGGGGGTGGTGCGGAGGGGGCGGGGGGACCTGTTCACACTGCAGATCTTTGGAGGGGGCGGAGGGGGCGGAGGCGGAGGGGGGGACGCAGGGCTCTACTCCAGCTCGCTGCTACAGCCCGCGGCCACGGGAGGCGCACAGGAGCAGGGGGTGTACGAGGGCGGGTATACCGCCGTGCAGGCGGGGCGGGTGGCTGTGTGGGTGGTGTTTCACAACACCATCGTCGCCACCGCTGCTGTCACTGTCCTGCCCGGCCTGCCCGCTGCTAACATGTCTGCGGCGCTGGTGCCGGTGGGAGGGGTGAGGGTGCGGGCGGGGGGGAGGGCGGAAGTGCTGGTGGCGCTGCGAGACGGGCTTGGGAACGTGGCGTCTTTCGATCCCAGTGCTGACGCCAACACTGCTGCCAACACCGCCGCTGCTTCCGCCCAGCTCGCTGTGAAGCTGCTCTCCTCGCCCCTCCCCGCCTCCTCCCCCGCCCCCGCCTTCTCAGCCACCACCATCAACCCGTCCCTCATCGCCCTCTCCGCCCCGCTCACCATCGCTGGCTCGTACCAGCTGCAAGTGTTGCTCAACGGCTCGCCCCTCCCCTCCCCGCCTCTCGCCCTCCAAGTCGTCCCAGCCGCCCCTGCCTCCTTCTCCCTCTCTGGATTCCCCCCTGCTGCCTCTTTCCCCGTGGCCCGCCCAGTGGTGGTCCACGTGGCGCTGCGTGATAGGTTCGGGAACCTGGTGGGGCATGAGGCGGGGGAGGAGGGGCGGGTGGGGGGGTCGGTGACAGTGTCGCACGGGGATGAGGTGACGGGGGGGGTGGTGGGGGAGACGTATATGCTGAACGTGACTGCAGTGAATGTGACTGCAGCGGAGATGAGCAAGACGGAATGGCAGGGCAGCGTAGCCACCACTGCTGCAGCTCCGGACGCCACTGCCCGCACAGGCGCCACAGCAGCCCGCAGCAGCAAGCCGGCCGCCACACCCGCCCCTTCTCCCTCTCCTGCCTCCTCAATCCCCGCCTGGCAGCTCTCCTTCACCCCGCAGTCCCCCGGGCAGGCCTCGCTGCAGCTCATGGTGGGTCCCCCCAACGCCGCCCTGCCTCTCTCCAACCCCGCCTCCGCCCTCCCCCTGCAGGCCACCATCCTCCCGCGCCCCGTCAGCCTCGCCCACTCCACTCTCTATGGCGCAGGGCTCCAGCAGGGAGGGGGGGTGCGGGCGGGAACAGTGGTGGAGATGGGTATGTGTGTGAGGGACGCGCAGGGCTTCCCTCTCCTCACTGACTCAGCCAAGCTGCTCAAGGTGTCCGTCACTCTCGCCTTTTTCGCTCTCCCTGCACCCACGCCTGGGACCTTCCTGCCCGTGCCTCCAGCCTCGGCCGTGCCTCGCGCCCGAATGGGGTACGGCGGCGGGTGCATCTTCCGAGGCTCGTTCAACCCTCCCAACAACACAGCCACGGCAGCCCCATCAGCAGCGGCAGCGGCAGCAGCAGCGCCGTACGGGCTGTCGGTAACCGTGCTTGTCAACAGCCGCCCCGTCCGATTCCAATCCACCAACATCACTGTTCTCCCCGCCCTGCCGCCCAACGCGCCCCTCCCGGCCAATCTTACGGTGACAGCTGTCACGGCCGAGGGGGTCCCCATTCCGAACGGCTACCAGCTCCGAGGCGGCGCGGCTGGTTCGGAGACCAAGTTCGGCGTTCGGTTCACCGATGCTAGCGGCACGGCGGTGCTGGTTCAGGATGACTCAGCCCTGGTGCTCAAACTGACACCCTCTTTTGACGCCCTTGACCCTGATCCCACTTTGCTCTTCGGCCCTGCTGCTGGCACTGCTGGCGCTGCTGCTGCTGGCACTGCTGCTGCTGCTGCTGCTGCTGCAGGCGCGCAGGGGGATGGGGCAGAGGGGGGCAAGGACAGCGTGAGTGTGAGTGTGAGCAAGGGAGGGTACGTGACGGTGACGGTGGTGCCGGCAGCAGCGCATGTGGCGTGGCGCAACGTGCATTACTCCACGCCTGACGGCTCCTCTGCTGGCTGGTTCCAGCTGCTGCTCGCGCCAGGTCAGCTGGGTCGCAAGCAGTATGGGTAGAGGCTAGAGCTACCTAGAGCTGTTTTGCCGTCCCAACTGTCTCCTATTCACCGCTTGTTGACGCGCTCGTCTCAAATGCATCTGCATTGCTGCTGTGAATCGTTGCCATCTAACTGACCCATGTGTGTATGGTATGTGCAGTGCCTATGGAGTGCTCTCTTCATCCAGGCATCATATCATATCATGTCCGCATCCTGTCATGCCCCCTTCCTTCCCGGTATGCACTCTCAGGCCCAGCCAAGGCAGTGAGGGTGGACGCGGCACCGCTGCAGGCGTGTGGGAGGGGGGCGTGCGTGGTGGGGCGGCGCACGGCGTTCAGCATGGAGGTGCTGGACGCCTCTCGTGCCCCGCGCACCTTCAACCGCCTCACAGGGGAGGGCGACTCGCTCACCGTGCTGCTCACCCGCCAAGGCACCAACCAGGTGCGTCACAGCCTTCAGTATGGCAGTGCTTGATGCCTCTGCCACTCCCCGCACGCACCTTTAACCGCCTCACGGGGGAGAGCGACTCGCTAACTGTGCTGCTCACCCGCCAAGGCAGCACTCAGGTGGGCCACAGCCTTGAGTCAGCATGGCAGTGCTGGATGCCTCTGCCACTCCATGCACGCACCTTCGATCCCCTCGCAGGGGAGGGCGATTCGCTCACCGTGCTGCTCACCCGCCACGCACCAACCAGGCAGGTGGGTCACTCGCCTTGTGCTCTGAGGCTCCTCAATTGTTGCTTCGCAGGCCAGGGTAGCGCACTTGTTGTGCTGCTTGCCCCCTCACCTCACCTCAGGTGGGTCCTTCACCTCATGTGCCACATGCCCCCCTCCTCGCCTAGCGCTGCAGCACCTCCCTGCAATCCGACCGTCTCCAGAAGTGTCTGCATCTTGATGCCATCTTTCATATTGTGCTCAAGGGCGTGCTTGAGCTTCTCAACCCGCTCTGTGCTGCTGACGTCGTGTGCGCTCCTTCCTCCTCCCTCATTTCTCCCTCTCCTCCCGACCTCCCCCCACCCCGCATTGTGCCACGTTGTGCCGAGCCACTCAGGCTGTCTTCTCCTCTGGTGCCACTGTCAACTCCAAGGGGAACTATCTGGGAAGCTTCCTGCTGTACGAGCCAGCCAACTTCACGCTCTCAGTGCTTCTGAACAACCAGACGGCCTTCACCACTCCCGTTCAAATCCTGCCAGGTCCGTTCAAATCCTCCCAGGTCCGTTCAAATCCTCCCAGGTCCGTTCAAATCCTCCCAGGTCCGTTCAAATCCTCCCAGGTCCGTTCAAATCCTCCCAGGTCCGTTCAAATCCTCCCAGGTCCGTCCAAATCCTCCCAGGTCAATCCAAATCCTCCCAGGTCCGTCCACTTCTGCCCAGGTCCAACCTTGCGACTCGGTTGCTCCTTTCCATTGTGTCAGATTGCACCACATCATGCCAGCCAGCTACCAAAGCTAACCTCATCCTCGTTCCTCTCATTTATCTCCTTTCCTCGCATCTCATTCATCAGTTCTGCGACTGCCTTTCCAACTTGTTCACAACCCCTCTCCGTTGCTGCCTTTCCCTCCCCACCACAACCCCACCCGTCCACCGCAGGCCCCTTCTCGCCCTCGCTCTCCCGCCTGCACGACCTCGCAGCCACGGCAGGGGCAGGCGAGCCCTACAGCTTCAACGTCACTCTCGCCGACGCCTTCGCCAGCCCCTACCTGCTGCCGGGCCTGCCCCTCCTCATGCACACACGCTCGCCGTCCTCGGAGGCCCACCATGGGGTGCTACTCTCCTCGCCCTCCTCCCCCACCCTCACCGCCACCATCACAGTCTTTGAGTCCGGCCCTGCTCACCTCTCTGTTACCCACCTGCCCTCGGGGGCGCACCTATGGGCGTCGCCCTTTACTTTTACTGTGCTGCCCGGCCCGGTTGCCCCTGCTGCGTGCTCGCTGCTGGGCCTGGTGAATGGCACGCTCGTGGGCAGCAACCAAACTTTTCTGGTGGTTGCCCGGGATTTGTACGCAAACCCGATAGAGTACCCCACAGCAGGGGAGTCAGGACTGACCCTCAATGTCACGTTTGTTCCTGCCCCGCCCTCCTCCACTTCCGCCTCTGCTGCTGCTGCTGGCGGTGGCAGCGGTGCAACAGCAGCAAGGGCACCAGCATCAGCACCAGCAATCCAGCCCACGCACATAGACTCATCTCTCAAGAACCCCAGCTTGCCAGCTGGCGGCCACGTTTTCACCTTCCCCACGTCAGCAGCCGGGACGTACACAGTGTCGGTCAAAGTGGGCCCCACACACGTCATGGGCAGCCCTGCTGACGTGGTAGTGCTACCCCCAGCCCCGTCAGCCAGCGTTCTGGCCTCCTTCGACCGCTCCCAGCGCGCCCTCTCTGTCGCCTTCTCCCCCGCGCCCACCCTCTCCTCCCCCTCCACTGCCAACGCTGGAGCACCTCCAGCAGACTCTGGAGCAGCAGGAGGGGCTGGAGGAGTGGGGGGCGTGGGCGGAGGGGGGGGTGTGGGGCAGCAAGACTGCGCGCAGCTGCTGGATGGGGAGAGCCTGGCGCGGGTGGGCAGTGGCGCGCAGTGCGTGTGGCAGGACTCGTCCCGCCTGCTGGTCTACCTGGGCTTCAACTCCTCCCTGCGCCCCTTCACCTCCCTCACCGCCGCCACCGCCCCCAACGCCACCCTCTCCTTCCGCCCCACCCTCTCCGCCCCCTCCTCCTCCTCCCCTTCTCCCTCCTCCTCCCCTTCTCCCCCCTCCTCCTCCTCCGCTTCCTCCTCCCCACTCGCCGTGGGCATTGGTCCCCCAGGCGGCGCATCAGGCACGCGGACCCCACAGCAGGTGCAGGAAGCGGTGCAGGCGGGGGCGGTGGTGGTGGCGGCACTGGACGCGCCCGGCACGGTGGGCATCTGCGATGCACTCGTGCTGGACGCGTCGGCCTCGCGGTCGCTGTACGGGGCGCCGCTGGCCTTCTCCTGGCGCGTCTTCTCCGATGCCGAGTCGCTCTCACTGGACCTACTCGTGTCCTCACAGGGGGATGATGCCACCACTCTCACCATCCCTCCCAAGACGCTCACGCCTGGGGCAACGTATGAGGTGAGGGGGGCAGTGGTTGCATGAGGGCGGAATTGGTTGTACTTTTGGCATCGCGGTCACTGTTCGGGGCGCCGCTGGCCTTCTCCTGGAGCGTCTTCTCCGATGCCAAGTCGCTCTCGTCTCGCTGGACCTGCTCGTGTCGTCACAGGGCAGCGATGCCACCACTCTCACCAACCCGCCCAAAACGTTGACTCCTGGGGCAGCATACGAGGTAAGAGGGGAGACAGAGGGGGGCGGTAGGTGTGTGAGCAGAGGAACGCTGAGTGGCTCTTGGAGGAGGCGCAATAGGTGCGAGATATGTGTGATACGTGTGAGAGCAGCAAAAAGTGGAGATCAGGTGAAAACCACCACTGCTCTTCTTCGTTTCCTCTCACACTCACACAAGCCTCATCTCCGCTCTCCTCTCCTCTCCTGCCCATCCTCCCTCACTCCCATCCACCCCTTCCCCCACGTGCCTCTCCCTTCCCTTCCTCGAGTTCGCAGTCTTCATAACAGACCCCAATGGCAGGGCAGCCAACGCATCACTGCTTCCCTCCCCCTCTCACTTGCTTCCACCCCTTGCCCCACGTGTCTCTCACACTCTCCCCCTCACCAGTTCGCCTTTGTGACGGACCTCTACGGCTGTTGAGTCGCTTTAAAGTCGCCCCTTTTCCCCGCGTGCCTCTCTCTCATTCTCCCCCCATCCAGTTCGCAGTCTTCGTGACGGACCCCAACGGCCGGGCAGCCAACGCATCACTGCTTCCCTCCCCCTCTCACTCCCTTCCACCCCTTCCCCCACGTGCCTCTCCCCCTCTCCCCCTCTTCCCTCCCTCCAGTTCGCAGTCTTCGTAACGGACCCCAACGGCAGGGCAGCCAACGCATCGCTGCTGGTGACCCAGTCCGCCACAGCGGCCCCCCTGCTGCGCATCCTTGCCCCCGCATCCCCCTCCGCCCTGCGCCTGCTCTCCGCCCGCCCCGGCGAATCCCTCACCATCGCCTCCCTCGCCTCCCTGCCCGACTCCTCCTGCCTCCCACCCTCTTCCCCCTCCGCCGCCTCTCCTCCCCCACCAGCAGCAGCATCGGCAACAGCAGCAACAGCAGCAGCAGCAGCGGTACCAGCCTCAGCAGCGGTGTCAACACCAGCAGCAGCAGCAGCACCGTCGTCAGCAGCATCTCCTTCTCCCGCTCCAACAGCCACCACAGCGACCCCTTCCCTCTTCGCCCTCTCCAACGCCCCCACCTCCCTCACCTTCTCCTGGTCCCTCATCACCGGCCCGCCTCTCAACTTCTCCCTGCCCGCCCTCGCCCGCTCGCGCCACTCCCCCGCCCTCACCATCCCCCCAGGCACGCTCCAGCCCGGCGCAACCTACGTCCTATCCCTACAGGCCACGTCAGCAGCAGACCCTGCCATGAAAGCAACGGACCGCGTGGCAGTGAGGGTGAGCGCGTCGCCTTTAAGAGTGGCCATATTGGGCGGCGACAGGGTGGTATCGATCGGGGAGCAGCTGGTGCTGCAGGCGGTGGTGGTGGATGCAGACGAGGCGAGGGACAGCCAGGGAAAGCCGCTGCCGATTCAGTACACGTGGGGCTGTGAGATGCTCTCAGAGGACCAGGCTCGCCTCCCTCCCACAGCTCAAGCTCAAGCCGTGTCCGCACCTACCACCACCAGCCGCAGCAGCAGCAGCAGCAGCAGCAGCAGTAGTGCGGGTGCGTTGTCCTGTTTCTCCAGCGCTACGGCAGTGCTCGCCCAGAGCACCTCCTCTCTCACCGTCCCCGCCAACGCCCTCGCCCCCGGCTCCTACCGCTTCTCCCTCCTCGTCTCCCGCAACCCCCTCTCCCTCCCCGGCACCTCCCCCGCCGCGCTGGCCCGTGAGAGCGTGCCAGCTGTCGCCGTGGTAACCGCAGTGGACCGCGCGGTGCCGGCCGCTGCGGTTGGCGTGGCGGCGGCTTGGGGGCGGGCGGCAGGGGCGATGGCGGAGTGGGCTCCGGGGGTGCAGCAGGGCAACACTGGTGGTGATGGCAATACCAGTGGTGATGGCAACACTGGTGGCGATGGTGGTACAGGTAGTGCTGGCAGCACCAGTGGCTCTGGTAGCTCAGCTGGTGCCGGTCCTACAGACAGCAGCAGCAGCAGCAGCAGCAATGGCACTGGCTCAGGTGGTGATGGCAGCACTGGCGGTGCTGGCTCTACAAGCGGCAGTGGCGGCAGCGGGTCTGGATCTAGCAGTTCTGGTAGCACTGGTAGTGATGGCAGCACAACTGGTGCTGGGAACACGAGTGGTGCTGGGTCTACAGGCACCAGCGGCAGCAGTGCAAGCAGCGGTGACAGTGCAGCAGGCACGGGGGCAGGAGGGGCAACAGCAGCAACAGCAGCAGCAGCAGCGGCGGCAGCGGAAAGGAGCAGCAGGGGGGTGCAGGCGGGGATCGCAATGGACAGGTCAAAGGCGGTGGAGCTGCAGTGTGTGGTGGATGCCATGCCCTATGCCTACGCGTGGAAGCAGGTCCTCTGCGATGGCACCCTGGTCGATCTCAATGGTACGTGCTGCTCCAACCTCAATGGTACGTGCTACTGCAGCTAATCCTTCAGTTCACTCGAAAAGCCGTGTGTGGTGTGGTGGACGCCATGCCCTATGCCTACGCGTGGAAGCAGGTCCTCTCCGATGGCACTCTCCTCGACCTCAATGGTACGTGCTGCTTTGTGCTGCTGCTGCTGCTGCTGCTGCTCCGTCCCCATGCCACCATGCCATGCCCTCAATCTCATCATGACTGCATCTCAGTCTCCCGCCTGTGCCTGATTTTCAATCGCCACCCTCCCTTTCGTCTCAACCCTCCCTTCTTATTCCACCATGCAGTGACGAACCAGCCGCTGGTTCTCCCCCCTTCACAGCTCGCCCGGGGTGACGCCTCCACCTACCGCTGCGACGTCTACTCCCTCCCACTCCCCTCCCCCTCCTCCTCCTCCCCCTCCTCTCTCGCCTCCTCCCTCACGCCCGACGGCCACCCCGCCACAGCCATCCCCGCCAACCCCCCACAGCCCGCCACCTCCGCCTCGCTCACCCTCCCCGCGGCCAAGGCCCCCTGGGGAGGAACGTTCCTCGTGCAGCCCGCCCCAGGTGACACCACGGGGCAGCTCTTTGCTCTCTCCGCGCCTGGCTGGTCCGCACAGCCGCAGGACCTGCCGCTCTCCTACACCTTCGCCACCCTGCAGCCTGCCTCCTCCCCTTCCTCCTCCACCGCCTCTCCCTCCTCCTCCGCTCTCTCCTCCTCCTCTCCCTCCTCCTCCCCCGCCTCCCCATCCGCTGCAGCTCTGCAGCCGCTCACGCTGCCCTCCGCGTCGCCTTCAGCCCTGGTCATCCTCCCCCCAGGCAAGCCCTCCCTCGCAGTGCAGGTGGCCTCTGCTGCCGGCGCTGTCACCCAAGCCGTCTCCCCAAAACCCCTCACCGTACCCGCCCCGGGCACAGGCGAGGGCGGCGGAGGGGATGGGGGAAGCAGTGGTGCAGGAGGGGGGAGTGAGGGGGAGGGCGGGGCAGAGCTGACATCAGAGCAGTGGTTAGCGGCAGTGGCGGCGCCTGCAGCAGCAAGGCAGGATGTGCCGCAGCTGCTGCAGGCTGTGGCTGCATGGGCCAGCATGTTCAGAGGCAATGCGTCTTTCCCTGCTGCTAGCAGCGGTGGCGGCACGGACGCACAAGGTGGGATGGTGGATGGACGGTGAGCGATTGATTCTCATCTGTGTGGTTGTGTTTCAAGCATCTTACATGTATGCGTGCTCGTGCTGCATTACTAAGTGTTTTCCTCCATTCAGCGGACATCGCAAGCGCTGCTCATAATTCCATCGTGTCTCTCCTTCCCCTCTACCACCTTCCAGTGGAGATGCTTATAAAGGAGGTGATTCAACAGAGCAGCACAACAGTGGTGACATCGCAATACGCTGAGCTGGCAGCATGCAGCCTGGCAGAGCTCTCCCCTCTCCCCGCCAGTCTCTCACCATCCACATCAGCAGCGCTCGTTGACTTTCTTGACTCCCTCACAGCTGCACCAGACGGCATCTCCTCTCGTGCCGGTCATGTGCGTCCCACCCACAGCAACACCCCTTCGCTTCTTTAGCTTCTTTCCACTCATGTTCGTCTCCTCTCATGTGCAATATTCTCTCAGTTGCCTTTGTTTGAGTTTGTCCGTGTCAACAGTTTCAGCCCGCCATACTACCGTACATGCGTCACGGTGGGCAGTGTGAAGTGAGCATGCTGTCCTCCATCGCATGTTGCTTCCATCATACCATAATGTGCCCCTCAAGTCCATTTGCACCTCTACCTCTGCCGCTACCTCTACCCCTGCCGCTACCTCTACCCATGCCGCTACCTCTACCCCTGCCGCTACCTCTACCCATGCCGCTACCTCTACCCATGCCGCTACCTCTACCCCTGCTGCTACCTCTACCCATGCCGCTACCTCTGCTCTGCCTCTGCCCGACCTATGCATGCACATCCAAATCACGAGATTCACTGCCACTGCTGCTGCTCCTCTCACCACCTTATTCCAACCCACCTCACATTGTTTCCTCGTCCGATGCGCCCCAACACCTGTCTTCCCCCCACCCCCGTCCACCCCGCAGTGCATCATCACGCTCACCTCCGACCTCCTCGCACTCTCCCCCCCGCCCGTAGCTGCTACCTCCACACCAACCGCCGCACCTCCTGCCACCGCTGCCGCTCCTGCCACCCAGAATGCCTCTCCCACACCAACGGCCGCCGCCCCGCAACCCGCTTCCCCCTCTCAACGCACCATCGCCCTTCAAGTCACCGCCTCTCAACCCGCCTCCCCCTCTCAAACTCCCTCTGAACCGCAAGCACCAACCTCAACGGTGCTATTCCAGCTGCCAGGCAGGGTGGCGGCGGCAGTGCTGTCCCATGAGACGCCAGGGGCGCTCTTCCAAGCCTCCTCCACCAATGTCAACCTATCTGCTGCTAAAGGTACCGGTACCTAACCCTGCCCCGCAACGAATAATAGTGTTGGGCTGTCTGTGTCAACCTTTGCTCTCCACCTCTCCCAAGGTCCCGAAACAACTCTCGCTCCTCAGTTTCTCTTCACCTCAAGAGGTCATTCACTGCATTGCACCGCCTCTCCTCCTTTGAGCCAGGCTGGGTGTTTCTCGACCTGCCCTTCAAAGCTAGTATCTCCTTCACCATTCTACCTGCATTCCGTTCCCCCTTCTACTCCCCCTCCCCCTCCTCCTACCCACCATACAGTGCGGCGCATGGCATCGCCATCACAGCAGGGCGAGTTCGCAGCGCTGCTGCCAGCTGCCTCGCTCGCACTCAACGCCACAGACACCCGTCTGCCCACCGGCACGGCATACATTGCTGCCTTCTACGCCTTCTCTGCTGCCCACCCACTTGGCCTCGCCAGGTGTGTGTGCTGCCACTGCTGCCAGCATTTGGTCATCCCATGCTTGTTCAAATACCACCAGCCCCTTCGTTATTTATTTCTGTGTGCCTCTCTATTCAAGCACTCTCTTAACAGAGCATGACTAGCTAGTGAATTGTTTGTTGCACAGAGCAGGATGTATCATCCGTCAACACAGGTATTCATTCATGTGCACGGGGATCGTGTGTCCTACCTTGCACGAGACCAATCTACACCAAGCCAAACCCACAATTCATGGGGTTCCACCCTCCTTGCATCTGTTCTCTCTCTGCTGCAGTCGAGTGGTGGGGCCGCCAGTGGTGGTGAGGGCAGTGGACGCATCTCTCTCCGACCTCAACGTATCAGCGCGCGTCAGCATGCTCTCTGCCCCCCAGCCCGCCACAGGTACGCCACCTCTCACCTTCTATGTATATCATCTACTTTCTGCTCTCTTCCATGCATAGATGCCTTCTCACTAAAGAGACTGCTGCTAATGTGGTGGATCACTGCTTGTGTGAGTTCTGCCCAAATCCTCGTCATTCCAACCCTTCCCACCCATCCAATCCTTATGTCCATCCTTTCCCTCCGCCTCCTCCTGAGAACCCTGTCATTGTCATGCTTACTGCACCGTTGTATCTGCCTCTACCAGAGCTCGGAGTGGCACGGTGGGACGGCTCAACATGGTCCTCCACCTCTCTGCAACAGCTCCCCACCGCATCCGACCCCTCAGGACTGCTGACAATCAACACCTCAGACCCAGCCGCCACTCTCGCCCTCGCAGCCGCATCCATAGCCGGCCCCCTCCCGGCCGCCTTTGCTCCCTACGTTCTCCGTGTGGACCTCCCACCGCTTCCCCTGCCGCCCATTCCGCCGCCGCCCCCGGTGCAGAGTGGGATGAGTGCTCTCACTGTGGCTTTGGCGGTTTCGCTGCCCATAGCTGGCATGATTGCGTGCATGGCGCTTGGATTGGAGCTGAACCGGAGGAGAAAGCCAGTTGCTGATGGAACCGAGACAGGCTCGTTTGATGAGAATGAGTAGTGGTATTGACAAGTCAAAGCTATGCCACACAAATTAATAACATTTATCCTTGCTGCCGGATTTCTTCATTCTGGAGCGTTTAAATCAAATTCATCCGGAAAAACATGAGATCGTTTAAAGGCCAGAATAATTATTCTAGTGGTATGTGAGCTTCTCTAGTTTATTTGTTCCAAGACTAATCTTCTTCCTCCTCTTCCTCTTCCTCCTCCTCCTCCTCCTCCTCCATCGTCCTCCTTACTCTTCCTCCTCTCTATTCCTCCTTCCTCTTCCTCCATCCTCTTCCTCCTTCCTTTTCCTCCTTCCTCTTCCTCCTTCCTCCTCCTCCTTTTCAGGAGAACGAAAATACCATGCCCAACACAATTCGCAGTTCACTTTCGCCATCCCCACTCTCAACCACCCCCCTGTCAAATGTTGTAGCCTATAGTGAGGTTTGTCTTAGGGGGTACAAAACTTAGGGTTAGCTATATGTACCCCAACCAACATCAATGCATCATCCATTCTTCATTTTGACATGGTATCAGTTAGGTTAGGATCCTGTGGGATCCCGTTCCTCCGTTCTCCGTTCGAGCCTCCCGAGCCTGATCCTAGCTCTCATTCGTCCCGGTTCCGTTGTTACCGCGCGTAGTGCCGCGCCTAGCGCCACTCCTAGCGTCGCGTCCTGCCCGCCCTTTCCCCCTCGTCGCGTCCCTTTCCCCCCGTCGCGTCGCGCCCTTTCCCCCCAGTCGAGTCGCGCCCTTTTCCCCCCGTCGCGTCGCGCTCTTTCCCCCCGTCGCGTCGCGCCCTTTCCCCCCGTCGCGTCGCGCCCTTTCCCCCCGTCACGTCGCCCTGCCCCGTCCCGTCGCCCTGCCCCGTCGCGTCGCCCTGCCCCGTCGCGTCGCCCTGCCCCGTCGCGTCGCCCTTCCCCGTCCCGTCGCCCTTCCCCGTCCCGTCGCCCTGCCCCGTCGCGTCGCCCTTCCCCGTCCCGTCGCCCTTCCCCGTCCCGTCGCCCTGCCCCGTCGCGTCGCCCTGCCCCGTCGCGTCGCCCTTCCCCGTCCCGTCGCCCTTCCCCGTCCCGTCGCCCTGCCCCGTCGCGTCGCCCTGCCCCGTCGCGTCGCCCTGCCCCGTCGCATCGCGCCCGCCCTTTCCCCCGTCCCGTCGACCCTACGCCCTGGCCCGTCGCCCTAGCCCGTTCTTCCGCTGCGACTAAGTCCCCCCCCCCCCACCTGAACCCTAATTTGCCTCTTACCTCCTGCTGTTACTCGCCTGCTCGTTCGCGTTAGTTCTCGCTATGGCGACTCCGCGAGTTCTTCGTTTCGACGCTGACGGTAGACCTCTTGACTTTTCCGTCTGGCTTCTTCGCGCTCGCCGTCTGTTAGAGAGTCAAGTCCAGGGGGGCGAGACCCTCTGGTCGCACGCTACTGGTGACCTCCCCGAGCCCCCCGAGCCTGCCGCTTTAGGTCCTGCCCCTGACGATGCTGCTACGGCTCGCTTTGCCCGTCAGCGCGCTGACAGGACGGCTTGGACGTCGCGTGACGCTGCGGCCTGCATCGCACTCAGCAGCCTCCTCCCTGAGTCAGAGGAGGTCCACTTCACTCAGGTTCGCACCGCTGCTGCGTACCTCACTGCGATTAAGGCCCGCTACTCTACTCCCGCTACTGTCTCTCTTGGCCGTCTTTTCCTCCCGTTCCTGTTTCCTGATCTCGCCTCGTTTGAGCGCTCTGCTGACTTGATCGCTCACCTCCGCTCGCTCGACGCTAGTTACCGCGCTGCTTGCACTGAGGCACAGCTTGCACTGCTTCCTCCCCCTATGGCGATTACTATCTATTTTATCGCCACTAGCCTCCCTGACCGCCTTGCCTCCGTTCGCGACGCGCTTCTGCTGAAGCACCCTAGTGAGCTCACCGTCGATGTCCTTGAGTCTACACTCAAGGACGTCGAGAGCAACCTTCGCTCGGTAGCCGCTGCCTCTGGTGCTGTGCCCCCCCCACTCTTCCACGGGTGCACAGTCCCGCAGTTACCCACCTTTACTGCCTCACTTGCCACTGCCGCTACTGACGCGACTGCAGCTGCTGTTACGACTGCGTCGCGGTCCCGCGGTAGGAGTGGCAAGAAAGGCGGTTCTGGCGGAGGTAGTGGAGGTGGCGTTGCGCCTGGCGGCGGTGGAGGTTCAGGGCCTGGAGAGGCGCCTCGTGCAGTGACTGGTGACTCCACTGCGCCTGCTGGTGGTGGCGACGCCCGAGTTCGTCAGTCGCCTCCTGTACTTCCTGCCCCGGTTGGTGGAGCAGCGGCGTGGTACCAGGCTCAGCGTCAGCAGCAGCTTCTGCAGCACCAGCAGCCCCTCTCCTCCCAGCAGCCTCAGCAGCAGCAGCGGCAGCAGCTGGCTCCAGGGTCGGGGCTGCGTCAGACCCAGCGTGGTGCTGCTTACACTCCCTGCACCTACCAGGTTCTGACAGGCCCTCGTCGTGGCCACCCTTGTGGCCGGTTTCACCCCCCTGGTCAGTGCTTTGCTCAGCTCACTGACACGGTTCGTTTGGTCTACGGGGTTGGTGCTCCTGCCCCTGACTGGCTGCCTCTTGTTCAGCGCTACGGCTCCGCTCTGTGGGGCATGTCTGCTGAGCAGTTAGTTGATCTGATTGGTACTCCCCATGCTATGTATGCTGTTGTTGACTCTAGTGTTTCTGACTCTGCTTACTCTGGTGTTGTTAGCTTAGGTGCTAGCCTTGCTCAGTTGCCTGTTGCTAGTGTAGGTTCTTGTGTAGACTCTAGTCCAGCGGCTACCTCAGAGGACGGTTCGCTGTCGTTCACGCTGGACTCTGGAGCCTCTCACTGCTTCTTTCGTGACAGCACGACCCTTACGCCTCTTCCTGCGCCTGTTTCTGTGGCGCTGGCTGATCCCACTTCGGGACCAGTCACCGCGCGTCACACTACCACCTTGCCGTGTCCGGCTGCTCCTTCTGGGTCTCTCACTGGGTTTCACGTCCCCTCGTTCTCCCGGAACTTGGTGGGCGTGCGACCCCTCGTGAGTCAGCACGTGGGTGTGTGGTTTGAGCCTTCTGGAGAGACTGCGGTGTGTGTTGACGGGGACTCTTACCAGCCCCTCGCCACTTTTGCTGCTGAGCCGGGCTCCGGTCTCTACACTCTTCACACTGGCCCGCGCGCTCAGCAGCGACTGCAGCAGCAGCAGCAGCCGCAGCAGCAGCAGCAGCAGCAGCGGCAGCAGCCGCAGCCACAGCCACAGCGGCCGCCGTCGCAGCAGCCACTCCTCCCAGTTCCTGTCCCTCCCCCTAGTCTCCTCCCTGCGTCTCACCAGGTGGTTCCGTCCCCTCAGGTTGTCGCGTCCAGTCCAGTCGCTGCGTCTTGCTCCTGTCGGTCACTTGCCCACCCCACCGTTCTGTGGCACCACCGGATGGGACACCCTTCTCTTCCACGTCTGCGTGCTATGTCTAGTCAGCGTCTGGTCTTAGGTCTCCCGCGTGTCTTGCCGTCGCTGCCGCCGTCCCTTGCACCACCGTGCGGTCCTTGCGTCGAGGGTAGGCTGCGTGCCACCCCTCACTCCTCCTCCCTTCGTCCGGCCACCGAGCCTTTTGAGACGCTGCACTTGGACGTCTGGGGCCCCTCTCCTCGCCCTGGCCCTGAGCGTGAGCGTTTCTTTTTGGTGGTCGTTGACGACTACTCCCGCTACACCACAGTGTTCCCCCTGGCGAGGAAGTCTGAGGTGACTTCTACGCTGATCAGGTGGTTGCTTACCACCCAGGACACTCGTGGTCGTCGTGTCAGCTGTCTCCACTCCGACCGCGGGGGCGAGTTTCGCTCCGGCATTCTCGCTGGATTCTGTCGCGAACAGGGCATTCGTCAGTCCTGGACGCTTCCGGAGTCCCCACAGCAGAATGGGGTTGCTGAGCGTCGCATAGGCCTGGTCATGGAGATTGCCCGCACCTCCTTGACTCACGCCCGTGCCCCCCATTTCCTGTGGCCATACGCAGTCAGGTACGCCGCGCACCAGCTGAACCTCTGGCCACGCGTCTCTCGGCCGGAGGCTTCACCGACCAGTCTTTGGACAGGGTCCCCTGGTGTCGCGTCGAGGTTTCGTGTCTGGGGGTGCTTGGCTCTTGTCCGCGACACCTCCGCGGACAAGCTCTCGCCTCGCGCCGTTCCTTGTGTCTTCCTTGGTTTCCCTGAGGACTCCTCTGACTTCACCTTTTACCACCCTCCCTCTCACCGGTTCTTTGACTCCCGTGACGTCCGTTTCGAGGAGTCCACCCCGTACTACGTCAGGTACCCCAGTCGAGGTCTCCTGGTTCCTCCTCCCCCCCTCTTCCTGACAGCCGCTCCCCCGCTGCTCCTCCGGTACAGCCTCCCCCCCCTGGTCCAGCCCCGTCTGGTGTGTCTCAGGCTAGCCCTCCCCCTTCGGTAGCCCCCCCTGTACAGCCTCCCTCCCCACAGTCTTCCTCGCCGCCTCCTGCAGGTGCTCCCTCTCGGGAGGTTGGTCCTGCGACTGTCCCTGTACAGGTCTCTGGTTCTGGGGGTGCTGGAGTTGGAGCTGAGCCGCGGGTTGCAGAGGACTCTTGTCTTCCGGGGGCTGGTACTGGTCGTGCGGAGTCTGGGGGTGCTGCGTCTGGGGGTGAGGGTGTTCCTTCGGTTTCTGGAGAGCCTGGGTCTGGAGCTGGTGTTGGTGCTGCCTCTGGGGGTGGTGTGCTTGGTGCTTCGGAGGTCGACTCTGGGGCTGCCGCTGCCCCGGACACTACTCCTTCCCCCCACCCCTACCCGACCAGGTTCCAGGCTCGTGTTCGCCGTGCTCGTGAGGAGCAGCTGGAGTTGGAGAGAGAGGAGAGAGAGTTGCAGCGGCTCGAGGAGCAGGAGCGACAGCAGCAGGGGCAGCAGCCGCTGGAGCAGCAGCAGCCGCAGCAGCCGCAGCCGCAGCAGCTGCCGTCTCCTCCTCCTGTCTCGGGTCTTCGGACCCTTGGTCTCCCCTCTCCCTCTCCTTCCTCCTCCCCCTCTCCTCCCGTCTCTGGTCCTCCGCT